TATGAAATAGCATAGACGGGGTTCCACAAAGAGTCCATTATCTTACAAAGACAGGTATTATTTTCTAAAATATATATATGTATGTATGCCATCTTTATTCCTTCAACGTTTAATTATTTCAAGTGATCGCAAAAATAAAATATGCATGTATTTACTTTGAAAGCAAATGGTGTTGATACGTTTATTAGCTCTTTCCGTTCGTACTAAAGATTCACTTCAACGGCCGATCATACGTGTTCGAAGTTATTTTATCAACCGACTGCCAAAAGAAACCAAGAAAGAGCACTTCTCAATTCGACAGTATTTTTAGGGTTCCGTTTAACACTAACTCTGATTTTATCACTATGTTAAAATAAAAATTGGAACGTTTATGGTACTTTGGCTGTTTATCCAACCCGCTAACCGGATAATGACCAGATTCACTAGTTTATTATCAACAAAAACAAATAGAAAAAATATAGATAGTAAGTACCTTTAGTACCTATTGGGTATTAGTGATAAGTACGTATACCATATTTTGTACAAATATTATTTAAATGCATCCTAAAAAATTAAGTATGTACTACAACATAAATATAGATACCTACATCTATAGGTACAAAATGGTAGACGATAGATCATGTCTTATAATAATGATTTCAAAATTGTAAAAAAAACCACTTTGAAGATATGAAGGTGATTATTATTTATCTTTGTGTATTAGGTAAACTAAAAAAGAGAACATACCTACTTAATGTTTGTCTGGACGTTACTGATTACAGCACACTGATGTATCAGAGCTTAGTTCTTCGGATTGGCAATTACAATCGGGTGAGCCATAAGTTTACTTATTTTTAAATTATATTTTCAATACACATTATTTATATTGTTAACTGGGTCTTAACACGAATTATCTTATGGCAAATAAAGGTATTTACCTCTCTGGAGATTGTGACTATTTTGCACTAGCATTGGTTACGAGTTGACTGGAGCCACAGCGATGTCGATGTCGGTAGATGCCAGCAATAAATAGCAGAGGTAATGTAAGAATTTCAATATTTCGGTTGGTATTGAAAATATCGATACAATATTGAAACCTTCAAGAAAAGAGTTTATTACTTTTTAAAAGGCCGACAACGTACTTGCAATATCCCTGGTGTTGCCGGTGCTTATGGGCGGCGGTAATTACTTACCATCAGGCGAGCCGCATGCTCGTTTATCCCCTGTGTTATAAAAAAAAAGTATAATAGTAAATACCTTAATCATCCTATCTATATTATATATATATTGACGACCTCGGTGGTTCAGCGGTCTAGTACACCGCTTTACGACCGATGGTCGCGGGTTCGATTCCTCGCACGGCACAAACTTTTGTATTCATGAGTATGATTGTTTGTATCGGTCTGGGTGTTTTCTATATATAATATGTATTTACAAAAAAATATCTATGTATCAGTTATCTAGTACCCATAACTTTAGCTAGCTTAACTTGGGTCTAGATGGCGCTGTGTGAATTGTCCTGAGATTATTATTATTATTATTATATATGTATATAGATATTTTGTACTTACTTGCACTCTTTGAAGATATAAACCAGCAGTTGCGTGATGATCTCATAATAAATATGTAACTACTTATATTATTTGGCATTGGGGACTGGTTAGTGTCTTAGCCTTTTAATATATTTATGGTATGAACGTGTAATGGTACACATAAGGCTTGTGTAGTTCCTGAATGAACTAGTTCGGAAGTGCGCTCACCAAGACGAACTAGTATACGTATCCTCGCTCCTTACCTCGTTTGATATGGTATTGCCCATATTTGTTAATTATAAATATATTTGTTGGTAGATTATTATTTTTTGTTAAATTTTATATTTGTTGTGCACACAGAGTCTATTATCATAAAGCTATCCTGCTTTTTACCATACAGAATCTAACTTTACCTGCAAATTGCAAAAGTTTACTCTTTGGTGTAGTTTTTGAATAAAATATCTAAAAAAAACGCAAAATTGTCATTTAAAAAAATCTAAGAACACATTTTTGTGTGTACAAAATTTTATAGGTCTAGAATTGACTAGCCTACTGCTATTCTCTGATTCGAGTCCAGAGCAAATGAACTATGTAGTTCTTAACTAAATGAGTGAGAGAGTCGTTTGATAAATGAGGGATCCCAGACGCGTAGTATTATGCGCAAGACTAGTACCCGACTGCTAACTTTGGTCATCTGGTGTCTGCACTTACGTCATATTTTCGATTTCTGCAGTGCTGGATATGAACAAGATAGCCTGTTATAATATCGAGTTACCCTATCATAAGAATATCTCTTTCATTGAACGTTACAAGGCTTATATATATTGTAAACCTATGAGATATATATATATATATATATCTTATTAATGTATTGTTCATTTAATTTAATCTTAACCAATAATGTTATATAAATCGATAATTTTATAAAATAAATGTAGCTGCAGCTCGCGACTTCTCATGATCATTATTGGCCGGGAACTAATTGTCATATCCTTGTCGATTTCAAGTTCTATGTATGATGACTGGTTATGTCGCTAAGGCGTGAAGGCTATTACTTAGATATTGGCGACAATATTTTATGAATTATGTAGTACCTACTAGGTGTAACTTCGGTATAAGTAATCAACTTCGTCTGAGCAAAGTTTTATTCTCGGTTGGCTTAAAGGACATGTAATTTATTGCAATATTTGTATGATACAATTTTTTACATTATTCATGATTTGTTTATATTGGTTTTTTGGCAATATTCATTGTAATTAAGAATTTACCTACTTCAATTGTTTTTTGTAATCACAATCTTAATTTGGAACTATTGTGTAACTGTGTGCCACTGTGTAAATTGACCTGGATAATAATAATTATTATACTAGGTACCTAATATTATCTATTAAAAAGTGTTGGCTTGCCTGTTCGTTACTGTTAACTGGATCTTTATGTAATTTGCACATGGACAGATTTTATGACGAGGATGGACATTTATTTTAAGAAAAGCAAATTAAATTATTTAACTATATTATATAGATACATTATAAATCTGATTTATTACTAGGTACAACTTAATTACGCAGCCCTAGCACTGGATACAATAGTAATGTGTTCTGACACTGATTACGAAATTAAAATACAAAAACGATTGCATTAGACACGTTAAAATTGTCTATATTGAAAAGTGTTTTGAAACGCATAATGGTATATTTCGGTTTAGTTCTGACAGTATGTTTATCTTTAGCCGCATTTACGATCGCGCGATGAATTATTAGCCGTCCAGTAAGTGACAGCCTGTCTCCGGCAACCAAATAAAACTGAAATAAAGCTAAATACGATATTTGTACTGCTCATTGATTTATTTACGGCCTTAGAAATTACCTACAGTCATTCCGTTCAGCTGAGAGATTGTAGAAATATATCAAGTAATATCATTCATCCGTAGATAATTCACAATCTAATAAGCGCTATCTAATCCCAAGCTAATAAGAGCTTGTGTTATGGGTACTAGATAAGTGATAGAAATATTTAGAAACATTTTCTTTGTAAATAAATACATAAAACATACTCTAATATAAACGACAATGTTCATGAATACAACTACTGTGAGAGGAATTCATCCGTGGCCATCGGAAGTAAAAAAAAGTCGGTTTGCTAAAATAGCTAGTCCACACTTAATAAATGTAGGTAGGTAGGTATATCATCAAATTAACAATACAATGTGGATTAGCGGGGTATGTAGGTACACGAATATCTAACTGACTTGGCTTCATTGTTACCCTTGATCATTTTACACTCAAATTACCTGTTTCGTTACCGCAAGGGGGAACACCATTACAAAATACAATAGTTCCGGGAGAAACGGATTGTTAGTAATGAGGACTAAGTATTTGATGGCACCTTTTGTTAGAAAGGTACCATATCAACCTCCATGCAGTTCCACCTGGAATCCAACGTGGTTACTTCCTGGCGATTCGCCACAATGGCTAACTAACCGGCCCTTATATTTATCCTTTTATCATTTACTAGTGCCATGTTAGCGTTTATCGTTTGTGCAGGTCATCCTGCTATTTTCATAAATTATTTATTTATTTATTATCCAGTAAAAGAATTTTAACAATTTAACAACAATTGAAAAAAATAGGTAGGTCTTCTCAAAAATATAAATGAACTAGCTATGTCCGCGACTTCATCCGCCTAGAACGGTGACCTTGGTCAGCATTTTTTAAATAATTATGTTGGCTAATTATAACACGGGAAAGAACAAAGTTTCATCGTTCTATCTTAAAAAATGACGAATTTCCATACAAACCTTCAACCCCTATTTTATTTTACACCCTTAAGATTTAAAATTTTAACAAACTTTGAATGTCATATTTATTTGTATTTAACAAACAGCCTAAAAGATAAGTTTCAAGCTAGCTTTAAAAATGACGATGCTTTCATACAGCCTCTTCCCTTTCAACCCCTTGCAGCCTATTTTTCTCAATAAAAAGAAGCATATACCTACGGATTTCCACTCATTTTGAAAAAAAAAAAGATGGCGGTACATGGATCGTGGGATATACTGGATTCGCTGTGGTAGATTTCGGATGAGGAGCGTCACAATAGTTGTGTGTGGATGTTTCTGCCATGGTAATGTGCGCTTTAGGAGTGTATGCTCCGATATGTCGTGGTTTTTTGGATACGGCGAGTTCTTCTGTCTGGAGGACTCCGGGGTATGCAAGGGCTCTCTTCAGAAACTATTAAAAGGTTCAAGAACATTTTTTGCATTAAACGACTACATTATCTCAATAATTCAAGATAAATAAAATATAGTTTATTTTATTTATCTTGAATTGAAAACATCAAAAACATATGCTGTATGGGTACAGTTTCCTTTGCCTTTCCGTAAAAAGATAAACAAAATTTTAATTGTCATATTTGTCATTCATTTATTCCAGCTATGTCAGTCATGTAACTTCATTTCCGTGTCTGTCAGTCCAATCAAATTTAAATCATGAAACAAACTTAATTATTCTTTACGATTTGTACTTGTTTTAGATATTTATTCAAATTAATGATTTAATAATTATTTATAAATGGACGCAGGAGAATCTTTTTTATCATGTGGACTAACTATGGAATGGACAACGCCAGAAGGATCAATTATCAGAAAAGTAACGTACAAAACAGCCTCACTCCGGTTAATTCGTAACGAATTTCGAGAAATGTTTATGGAAATATCAAGTGATAAGAATGCTGCAATTCGATTGGCGCTGAAAGGAATAAATGTATTTAAAAAGTTTATGATAGAAGGTAAAGCCACTATTAAGTTTCAAGAGGTACGATGCACTTTATTTATTTCAAATGCGCCACCGACTAACCTAGTCTCATTCCTACGTACAATATTTGTTAAAATGACTGGTGATAAAGAAAAGGTTGCTAATACTACACCATTAAAACAAAACATGAGAGCTAAGTTGCTGAGCGGTAAGGCACAGGCTTTTGAAGAGATCAGTCCAGTGACAATAGCTGATATACACAACGCCAAAAATAAAATCCCAAAATCAACAGTCACGACACCTTCACCGCCTTCCAAAAAACGTAAAACTGATGACAGCAGCAGAGGACCTGCACCTAAAAAGTTATACTCACCGTCACCATTGACAACCACAAGTTCCTTGAATACAGAACAGCAGAGAGTTTTAGAAGCTTGCCTAGGTGGGAAAAATATTTTTTTTACCGGTTCTGCTGGTACTGGCAAAAGTTTCTTACTGAAAAGAATTGTATCAGCATTACCACCTGATGTTACTGTGGCTACAGCTTCCACTGGTGTTGCAGCTTGTCATGTTGGTAAGTAATAATTTGATACAATAGTAGTATTAGTTACCTTTTAAAGAACAATTTGAAATGTATTCTGCTACATTTCAATTGACACATAAGTCATATATAATTTTTTATAATAATGCATTTGGAAGGGAACCTTGGAACTTAATGAAAAGTTTTTCACCACATCAAAGATGCACATTATATGCTATATAATAATTATAGGTGTATTGTAAAACCTAGAATTGTAATGGAATTTATGGATTTTAAACCTTTAGTGATACCACTAGTTACACCTACATATATATTTATTAAACCATTATTGAATAATTACAGGAGGGACAACATTGCATTCATTTGCTGGTATTGGGGATGGTAGTGGTTCACTAGAAGCACTATGCGAAAGAGCACTGAAATTGCCTGTAGTTGTTCAAAAGTGGAGGAAATGCAAGCATTTAATTATTGATGAAGTTTCTATGGTTGATGGAGCATTCTTTGAGGTAACTGATATTGAAACATTCTGAGTAACCTAATTTCACAAATAAGGGGATCATTTAGAAAAGTGACTTCAATTTATATATACTTCACTTTGAAGTAGATAAGTTTTTCTGCCTACCTCATAAAGGGCCTGCCATGGAGTTTTTACTAGAATAATAATAATAAATGTAACCTATTCCCATTGTTGAATAGAGACTATATTAACAAAATGTGTATATATAATAATTATTTCTTCTTCTGCAACAAAAAAAATCATTTATTGTCTTTAGAGATAAAAGACAAAAGTAGTGGTGATTTATTATATATTTCATTTTTTATTTTCAGAAATTGGAAGCTGTAGCTAGATATGTAAGAAAAAATGATAAACCTTTTGGGGGAATTCAGTTGATATTGTGCGGCGATTTTCTACAACTGCCACCAGTTGTAGATAAGAATAAACCTGGAAAAAGATTTTGCTTCCAATCTCCTTGTTGGGAGAAATGCATCGAGTTATGTTTTGAACTGAAAGAAGTACACAGACAGAAAGATCAAGAATTTGTAACAATACTCAACAAAATAAGAATCGGACATGTGACAAAAGAAATAAGTGATAGGTTAATTGGTACAGCTAGACAAAAAATTGAAAGTGATGGTATTTTAGCTACAAGGCTATGTTCTCATACAAATGATTCTAAAATGATAAATGATTCAAAGCTAGCAGATTTAAAAGGAGATGAGAAGGTTTTTTCAGCACAAGATAGTGAAAATTCAACCAAAATACTTGATATGCAAACAGTTGCACCATCAAAATTAATATTGAAAATAGGAGCTCAAGTAATGTTATTAAAAAACATCAATGTTAATGCTGGTTTAGTGAATGGGGCCCGAGGTGTGATTGTAAGATTCGAAGAAGGTATGCCAGTTGTAAGATTTAAAAATAAAAAAGAATATACAGCCAGAACTGAAAGATGGTATGTTAAAAATTCAAATGGCTCTTTGCTATGTCGTCGACAAGTCCCTCTGAACTTAGCATGGGCATTTTCTATTCATAAATCACAAGGTCTTACTCTAGATTGTGTTGAAATGTCACTGTCAAAAATATTTGAAGCTGGTCAAGCATATGTAGCCTTGAGTAGAGCCCAAAGTTTAGATACATTGCGAGTATTAGATTTTGACTCTCGTCATGTTTGGGCTGATCCAAATGTTCTTGAATTCTATCAGAAATTTCGACGGCGCTTACAACAAATGGAGATTATTCCTCTAGGTCGACCATTGTCCAGCAAAGCAAATAAAAAGTTAAAATTAAGAGAAATATTAGAAAAACAATTGAGCAAGAAATAAGACTGAAATAGTTGTGATATTTTATTTTACATAATAACTTTACATAGTTTTAATCACAATGTTTGAATTTATTCTTGAAACTTATATGATAGCATTTATGTACAGCACCTTCATGGCCTGTTTTAATGCCTTACTATAAATAAAACAATATCAGTAAAGTGCTAATCAGATCCACAGCTGAGGTTTTTAAACAATTCATGTAAATAGGTTGTACCTATAATAAGTAAAATTTTCTTTATGAATATGTATATCTGTTCATAGGTACAAGGATAATATACCTACAAAACGGAACTGTATAATTAACTGTTTCCTTGTAGTGTTTTGATACCGCTGATTCCTCAAGAACTAAAAAGGCATTTATTTCTGTCACATATCGAAACTTTCCATCTATAATAACTAATAGCCAAAGAGCCCACGACGGCCAGACATACGTCATTTTAGTAAACGTGAAAGTTCTTGTATGTGTATCCCCAACACAGGTAAGAACGATCCCCAAACATGAAACCTGGATCGTGGTTCCTTTGGCAGGTAACAGGTAAAAAAATTTCATATCAAATTCGTTATTTTAAGAAACTCCATATTTTCATATATTGTTTGTAGCATTATAACTTGCGCTGCTCATTGCCAGACACTTGGTGTGGTTCCAACCCCCCGCCAGACCCCCCTACACATAGAAGAACTTTCACGTTTACTAAAATGACGTATGTATGGCCGTCGTGGGCTCTTGCTCTATAATACTAGTACAATACAGAGGACAGATAAATACAATTCCCGTCCTCGGTTCCGTTTTATCTATTTATTTTGGTATCCTGAACAATTTAAAAAATAAAGTGGTGAGGAGAGTTCTGTTCTTGAGGTGGAAGTTCTTGGGTGTGGAGAGTTCTGTTGAGGTTCAATTGACGTTGAAATGTCGCCATTAAAACTAGGTATATAGACACAATAGATATGAATTCGCATTGCGTTTATATATAGTGAAATAGTAAAATTAACTTAGTATATCGCCTATTAAGACTGAATCACATTAAGAATACATTTAATCTTTGTGTTCGATTTTTTCATTATGGCGACAAATATTATAATTTTATTTAAATATAATTTATTTAAAAAACATGGTTTTATTAATGAAGAGTATCTATCACCTTAATTAAATTTATATATCACCTTAATTCATGATTTTAAGATAGATTCCGAGTTATGGGCAGCACTGGGAAAATTCCGATTGGGACGAAATTTGCAAAATATTTAATACCATACTTGCTGAATATATAAAGAGGAAAGGAATTATGAAATAGGAAGACGGTAACTATTTTTTTAGGATTTGTTTCAATCATTTAATAGAATAATACATACTTCAACTGGAGGGCACAGCAATCTGAAATCTGACAGTTCAAAATACTTCAAAAATAAAAAGCTTTTGACACTTAATAAAATGTATTATGACTACAAATAATATACAGGATAAAATAATGTCTCCATCGAAGCAGTTGTTTTTCCAGTAATACATGATGTTCCACAGGGTTCACAGGCCATACCTGGTACCAATAATTTATAATGCTGATGCTGAAGTGCTTTCAGTGTTGTGTGAGCATTATGTCTGAAGGTTTGACCTTTAGATATAGTACAGTTACTATTTTGGATCAAGTCAATTTATGTTTGACGCTCGTCATACCATGGACAAACTACAGATTTTTTCATGCTGAATGCATACTGTTTTAATCCTAGTATATATCTGTATAATATAATCAGTAAAATTAATCATAAAATTTTAAGACCTAGCCTACTATTAACGTCTATATATTAAGCCTGTAACACCAATTTTACAAGGGAAAGTGTATATCTTCATTTTTTGAGTGGTTGTATAATGTAATGGTAACATTAATGTTTAGGTTGTCATTACATATAAGTTTACATCCTTTAACATACAATACCTACGCATATTTCATGGAAAATGACATTTGGGAATAATTTATCTTGACTCCACTGCTGATAATATTTCAATTTGTTCTTCAAGAGTTGCATGTTTTTCTTGAAGACACTTCACAATATATTTGAGTGTACTTATATTTTGTTCAGTATCATTTTTATGATTCCTGATGTCATCAAGGTTCTTATGTAAAATTTCAACTTGCTTCTTATTTTGTATCAATTGTGTTGCCAGTATTTTATTCAAATAGTCTTGCTTTTTAATCAGTAGCCATAAATGAGCTTCCATTGGTGAATCGGGTTTACATTTGAGATCATCTGCCACAAACATGTCCAAGTTTGTAGGTACCCTCATTTTTGTCAGGGTATTCTTGATATCAGCGGAAATCTCAGCCTGGCCTACTCTGTTTAACAGCCTGTCTACCTTAGTCTTTTGTACAGGTAAATCAATCTGAAATTAAAAACATTTGATTAAGTACATAAGTAAATTCCCAAAATTAACAACTGAGAGCATAATTTTTATATGTACCCGCCTGTGTTTCAGCAAGGTACCAGTGGAGGTTGATAAGGATAAGAATGTAGTCAGGTTAAATCTTGGCAAATTCACTGGGAATGAATCATCCATGGGGAACTCAATTATCAGGATATCAAAAAACATTATTAGCAATAGAGTAACTAATTAGTATTTCTCTATCCCTGTGATAGTAAGGTTGGCTATTTCTATTGATACTTCTTTATTAGTTTATATGCAATAATCTACCAAAGTGTATCCTAGAAATGACGAATTTTGGTATTTCCAAATAATGGTAAGACTGACAAGTCAAATTATTCTATTAAGCAATATCTACAAGACACATATTAGCTGTAAATAATTATATGATTGCTTATTTATTATTATTTAATGTAATTCATTGAATAATAATTAAACAATAAAATCCTGAAAATTACTGGTAAATGGAAGATGATTGCAATTTTAAATTTACTACTAAAAACAACGCAACAGAATATATGTTAACTTAATACTATATCCATTATACTTTTTACTTCTTTCTACCTTTGATCCTCTCACATTAGCGCCAATTGGAAATATACTTGGTACAGCATTCTCCTTGAGTTTCCTCTGAGCATCAAAATATTTCTTTTCAAAGTGTACTGAGCAAATTTTACTTTTTGACCAATCCAGTATAGAGCATTTGTTTTTTAAGCATTGGAGCCATTTACTTCTCATTTCCTTAGAACTAGGACAGCTGAAATGAGATATATTTTGATGATAATAAAATGTACACAGGCAATGTACAGAGATGATCATCATAAAAACTATAACAAAAATTTTATAATTTAATCAAAATTTATCATAAGTTGTAATAATAAAAAATATATAATTAGTACTCAAGTGGTTCAAAGAAATAAAACCAATTGACAAAGAAAAAAACTAGATTTATAATTTCGGTTTGATTATAAATGTAATTTATCAGGTCTATGACCTAATACGCCTAGGAATCAAAACATTACACAGTCATGCGGCTAACACTAAAGGACATGCGCCTCAATTTGAAAGAAAAAGTGACCACCTCAAAACGGTAGTAATTCGATCGATAGTACGTCGATATGAATATTAGACAACTATGACTAGGAACTGAAAACCACCACACACAATTATAATAATTTTGATTATCATATATATAATAATAATTTTGATATACCCGAGCGGTATGTTATCCTGTAACAAAAATAATGGCAACTTACGAATGAAATGAAACGCCCGGTAGTTTATTGTAACTAGTAGTTTTGCAATTAGTTACGGCACAATGAGTATTAGACATCTTGATTTATTAGCTGATTTAACGTAGTACAAAAATATAACTTGGAAAAATATAAATTTGTGTATTTAAGCAATATCAAATTAAAAATTCAGTAACATTCAATTCCATTCAACAAAGTTATATTGATTAATGACAGATGTCAGTTTTCTGATCACATCATGTTAAATAATGACGTATGCGATGACAATGACATTTTGTTTGTATTTTAAAAGGACAGCTTTTCAAAAAATGCATATGAGGGTATATAAGATTCTTACTTAAAAAATGTAAACTAAAATTTTTGTGTGTGTTAACGGCTCTTACACTCGCAAACAGGTAAAGTTATAAGGAGTAACTTACGTTATATACATATTAGAATTTTTATTTATTGTAATAAATAAGTCGCGTGTAGTTTATTTTAAAATATCAAATTAAAATTTAATAGAGTAAATATTGTAACAATTAGTAATATGTAAACTTACCACTTTACTACCATGTTCGATTCTGTTTAATGAATGTGGAGGAGGGTTGTATAAAAAATTAGAATAAGGAAGATTGAATCGCTGATTAGCTGTAAGTTTATATTATCTTAATTTAATAAATAAATCGCAATTGGATAATCAATTATGTTATATTTATACATCGCATATCGTAACAATATTAGGTTATATATATGTATTTATGGATAATGTATCTATACAAAAATAAATAGGTTTTATATATTCTAATCAGTAACACTTATAGCTACAGGTGGTATAAATCTCCACACGTGGCTGACTTCGCCAGTACAAGATTGCACTATCGCTGGGTTGTCCGTGTCTTTAATGGTCACGTCGTCAAGTACTGGCTCCGTAGTAGAACACTGAATATCGATCTTGTATTCACCAGGCGTTAGAAATACCACAGCGCATTCATGGTAAGCTTTTGCGGATTCAGCAAGTGTAGACAACACTACTCTGAAATTTAGAACAAGGCAAATAACATTTTATAACACTGATTTAACTTGTTTGTCCATGGCAACACCATGGACAAATAAGTTTAATCAACTTTTTTACTACAATTTATAAAATTTTGTCGAATGATATTTTATACAGTGCCTTCTAGTTCCAAGCTAGGCAGAGCATGTGTTACGGGTACTAATCAACTAATAAAAATACTTAAATACGATTTATTTGTAAATACCTGTATAATGTAAAGGCAAAGTTCGATACAGTTATACTCATTAGAATACAAACCGCCTTACTAGTCGCCGCAACCGGCTAGGGTGCGAGGAATTATCCTATGTAGTAAGGCGGTGACGCAAACCTCTCACCTCACCATTATCAAGGAGGTGAAGACCTTTTTACCAAATTACATATTAAAAATAAGATATTTCTACACTCCTCTGGTCTAACAATTACCACTTTGTATTTTTTTTTCAAATTATATACCTAATATAATTGAAGATTAAAACAACAGTATAATTGTTCAATTAAGGTTGTAGTCAACGGCAATACTTGATATCCCCATATTTGCTTAGTATATCTGATACCAATATAGAAGGAATGAGTCTATTGCTATCATCACCTCTTGAATAAGTTTGGTCATTCCATCACATGATGATGTACATCATCCATCATGACGTACATTTTTATTGTGTCTATCACTTCTCATATCAGTGTATGTTGTGGTAATAACCATTCATCCACGACAGTCTCAATATTTATAATTACTTATTACATCATTAACTCACTTATTACTTCCAGCAGTAGCAACTCTATTATCCAGCTTATAGCAAAGAACTCCGTTGTTATAGTCTTGATAGAACTGTACCGACAGGCAGAGTTTATGCAGCGGTCGCGACAAATGGTTCCATACCGCGACGCCCAGTGATAGACACTCGCCGGCTGAACAACTATATTCATCTTGCGGCTTAATGCATTGCTTGTTGACGCTTACTTCTGCAATAACATATAATAATAATATATCAGGACAAATATAAATATCTCAGGACAATTCACACACAGCGCCATATAGTCCCAAATTTTTGTAAATACTTGAAAAATACATAGAAAATATCCAGAATAGTACGAACAACCATGAATACAAATGTAGGTACCGTGCTAGGAATCGAACCTTCGACCAGGTGAAGTAAGACGGTGTTCTAAAACGCTAGACCACCAAAACTGTCGATCCTGACTGAATTACATGGATTTTGCCCTATTTTATCTACTTTTGTATATTCTTATTTATACCATCTAACGGCAAAGCGTCACCTATGTACATGTACTGTACAGACATCAGAAAGGTTTTGTGTTGTATATACAATCAGGTGCCTCTAATTTTAACTTAATACTTGTTTAAACCATTCGTTCGGAATAGTATTAAATAATAAATAAATGTATAACTTACCCCAATTTAATGGCGACATCCTGACAATATCCATCATCGTCTGCGATAAAGTTATACCTTTTACAGAGGCCTTTCCATTGATATCGGACTGCATGAGATGCCACCGCAGGTCTATATTGTTGGTGATATGTTCTGAACACATCAATTCTAAGCTATTGGATGATGTGCCAGTACTTATGGATTTGGATTCCAACAGCTCTGTAAATTTAGTATTTATAAAGCCTCATGGTGATGCAATATTTACTTTTAATTTATAAAATAATAAATGAAAATAATGTGAATTTATAGCGGAACCAATACAGTAGGTAAACTCTTTCGGTTATAAAATAATTATCAAAAATCAATTCAGAATAAGTTATATAATTGTTACCCCCCTCTTCCCGTCCCAAACGCCTTTGCCAAAACCACTCGAGGATCCTTAAACTTCCTAACAGTAGAACTCAGTTTATGGGTAACTCCTTTTCGTTTCGTGCTGCTCTGCTATGGAATAATCTCCCTTTGGAGATTAAAAAAAGTCCATCTAGTGGTTCTTTTAAGAAAAAGTTAAAATCATACTACCTTTCTACTGCTATGTGATTAGTGTCATCATTGTATATATATCTTTGTAGGATTTATTGTTTGATTTAGTATATATTTATTATAAATGTAATTTTTTATTTAGGTATTCAAGTACATATATATATATATATATATTAATATATATTTTTTATCTTTATGTATATTGTATTAGTATCTGTATTTTGGACATTATATTTTTATGTTTAGTTTTAATTATTTATGACATTTTTATAAAAAAATATTATTTGCACATTTTGTCCCACTCAACACTTCCTATGCCACGCTCTATTGGATTGACTTGAAGAGATCTCTTTTAGAGATAAGTCCTCCTTTGTTAACATTAGTTGTAATTAATATATTTACAAATGTATTTAAGTGCAATAAAGAATATTTATAATAAAAAACACTAACGAATGTAACACCATTTTCTTTAAATTATTATAGAAATAACGTACCATCGTCTGTTTTGTTGGCCGTAATATTAAACGGGCACCGATCGAGTGGTACCGGTATCCTACATGACTCTTTGCTCTCAATCAGAATGTGTTTACTAGGCGCGTAGTGGAAATCCATTTCTTCTGAGGTTAAGTTTGTAACATCTAATACTAAATAGAGTTGTGACGGTCTGAAATATGATATACATAATGTAATAAATTTCATGTATCTAGAAAACATATAGCATTTTATTGCCTCGGATTCTTTTAATGGAGAAAAGGGAGTGGAAAACACTGAATGAAGAAGAATTGTCAGTTCTATGACTATAAAACATTTTATATTATTTTTGTATTAAAACAAGTTACAAATATTAAGTTTAATATTGTGAAACAGAGTCAAGAAGTTCATATAAATAATCATGAAAAGGGGTCCCAGACCCCTTCTACCCTAGAAGGGGTCTGGGACCCCTTTTCATGATGGGTCTCCATTTTAATTTTACTATTAAAACAAGAATTTACGCATTATAGCACCATAATGTTACGTAATCACTTAAATGTAATAATAAACACTTTTTAATATTATATAGCAATTGAAGTATCTTTATTTTCATGTCAATTATGTTCATGTGCAACTTAATTCTATCTGTCAATAAATATCTAATACTTACATCTCGGCCGGTAATACGTCCCAATGCGTAATAGATACACTGGGCAAGAGTTCCAAATTAATTTGTAATGTCGATTGACGACAGTGCATTTCCTTACCAGTTCCGCCCGAATACCTTATTATTACCTGTAAAATACAAAAGAGTAATTACACAACTATTGAGAAGAAATTTGAGTTTATTTATCGGTTTAATAAAAGATAAATTTCTGAGCCGATTTTAATGAGCTTTAAAAGATCAAGAAAGTAGCATTTCTTACTTATTGGTCTAAAAAATTTATTATATAAAGTGGATTTAGAGTACGTTAAAATACCTGTGTCTCTATTTGGCGACCGCGAGATGGCGGCATAACAGAAATTGGTGCCGACCAACTAGTTGTATGAGAGTTTGTTGATCTGTAATATAATCATTAGTAATTGTAACTGGAAAATATGTTAACTAAAGTATACACCAGCTGGTAAAAAAAATAATATCCTTGTGTATAATTGGACAAAAATAGAATAGTTAATTATATGTCAGTCACCTGATAACTGATTAAAAATTCGGGTATACTTCTTTATATATAATATGTAAAGATATTATTTACTATTGACTTTGATGCTAACGCAGTCTAGATTCTCAAAATACTGTAAATGACATACAATAAAACACATACGTAAATTCTGAATTATAAATAAAAATAAGAACTAACAAATTTTATAAATTGTGTATTCAGTGATTTTATATGATATTGTATGATTTGTATTACATGACGTCTATACTTATTATTTAACTATGTTTACGCAAAAACATCATTACCTGAAACTCCCAGATGTTCTATTAGCCATAAGACCACTACTTAATGAAGTTTGCGGGTTGGAGCTCTGTGTGGGCAGAGATGTATTAGGCACCGGCGAACCCACTCTTGATGGATAATTAGAAGTGAGGCTGTTTGGAAACAGATTGTCACCCCCAACGCCACCTAGATCCAAGAAATCTGCTTCTCCATATAACTTTATGTTAATAGTGGCAGTGTCATTCGGTGCTATTGGTAGTTCAGCTTGTATATCTTCATTGGAGAATTGAAATATCTTGGATTGAAGTTGGTTGTCCATATTTGACTGAAATACATGAGATATGTATTTATTTTTTATAATATTATAAATCAGTATGCAGTGTAAAATAAAAAGTTAATTCAAACAAAATGAATCAATCAATCAACATCAAATCGAGGTTTTAAATTCTAATATACTGTTTGCTTATGTGTAGTTTATCAATTCTGTTATAATTTTAATTATTAATTTTATGATTCTAATAGTTTACCAAAATTTGTGTTTGTTTGTACTGTTTACGTATTAACTTCGTAAAAATATAAAGATATCGAAATGTCTAATATTTAAATGTCAAAAATAAATATTGTACAAAGTTGTTAACATTGTTACTATGTCTAACCTATCACTGCGGACAATTTGCATTAGATTCCGATTTATTACATACGTATCTATACACACACACACAAAAAGTAGCGAAATATATAATATTTTTACAATATTAGTGTAGAGAGTGTACAGTATACTATTATATATTTTCGAATATAATAATAAAATAAAAACAAATAGAAAGTTAGATATTTTACCTGTATAGCGACGTCTAGATATTCAATAGTCACGTTACTGGTATTCGTTATTTTCATATAACACTCTGTGCTCTCCCCATTGTGTAACGTTATATTTGTAGTACTACCAACATTCTCCAGGCTGGATAAACTCATAGAACCCACTGAAGAGACTGTAGTCTCAATAGTAATTGTAGGCAGACTAGGAATAACTTCGATAGTGTAAAGTGCTGGGAATTTGTTCGGCATAGGCATAGTTTTCAGTCTACAATTAGATTTTACGCCGAGTGTGTGTGTCGAGTAACCTAGTATTTGAAGTTCGCCCACTTCTTTTGGAGTTCCGTGGAGATTGACCGTGGTGGGCGTGTCAGGTGACAATATGATGGTCTCCGGAATAGATTCAAAGACGACGCCGGAGGTTAGTAATCGCATGTTCGAAACTTTTAACTCAAAAGGCAATGGGTTTGTAAGTTTCATTTGAACTTCGCAGATATCGTCTTCTACCCAAAGATACTCTGAAATATAATTCAATTTTATAATATTGTATATATTATTAAAGCATAACAATTATCTAATAGATTACGATTCTAATGGTTCTCAGATTGGAAATCAATTATTACTTAATAATATACGTATTATACATTTCTTAGGATGTGGTAGTTCAAAGATTATTTTATTATATTAGAAGTCACAGTTAAAGTAGTATTTCTATAATATTTTCTCTGCCTACTCTATAAAAGATCACATACTAAAACAATGACAGTAATATCTCTTTAAAAAATTTACTCAGTAGTTACTCACCCATTTTCCCCTCATCCCTCTTAGCTTTCCGTTCCAAAGTACCAAAATGTATTGGAGTGAATATGAAGGGCCCTTGCTGAGTCTTCAGTTTGACGAGGTGCGGTGCGCGCGGAGGCGGCGGCGGGCGCGGTGTGAAGCTGCCGCACTGCGGCACGTGCGACAAGCTCGCCGGCGGGACCACCGCGCCCGTCGGCAGCACCAGCGGCACTGGCCCGCCCTCGCATTGGGCCGACAGCGCCTAAGGACAATTACAATATTTTTTTTATTTTCGTTGATGATAATAGAATGATGCACCCGCCAGCATTAACGGTTTACGTTTGCGGGGCACCAGTGGAGGATGATAAAATAAGAATGAGGTCAGGTCAGTTGGCCCATCGTGACAAATTCACCAAAAATTTATCGATGACTTCCAGGGGGAACTGCGTGGAGGTCAACCTGACTGGTACATTGCTAGCAATAAGATCATCAGTCCACATTACTAACAATCCCATTTCCCCCCTCAATTGCAATAATTAGCTGATTCCACATGAATTGTTTGACCACACACTTTCACAGACTACGAGAATACACGATTCACTGACCACAAGTTTTATAAAAAAATCACGAAATGATGATTCCGCTTGCGTTAATTAATGTTATGTGCTGATAGGGCACCAGTGAAAGATGTCGGGATAAGCATGAAGCTATGTCATAGGTATTGTGGCAAATTAACCAGGATGGTTTTCATGTAGTAAAAAAGTTAAAACGAAGGCTGAAAGCGTTTTTATTCTATTGATGAAAATTTTAGGTTACTCTTCTACTGCTATGGTATTATATATTATTACATAGTATAAAACAAAGTCGCTGTCGCTGCCTGTTCTTATGTATGCTTAAATGTTTAAAACTACGCAACGGATTTTGAAGCGGTTTTTTGAATAGATATAGTGATACAAGGGGAAGTTTTATATATATAACACATGTACACCCGTGCGAAGTCGGGGCCAGTAGCTAGTATATATATACAGAAAGCAATGGAGCCACTAGTTTTCATTACTAACAATTTGCCAGTCCTTCTCCCCCTCTGCGCTCATACAGTAAATGTTACGAAAATTGTATGAGTCAATTAAAACACGCACCTGTAATTGTATAGCCAAATCTCTATGTTCTTGCCGCGACAAATGCGGCCACATTGTCTGTAGTAAAAATGTCATGTGTCTTGTTGCCAAAGCTGGGTGACCCATTCTTCGGGCAGCGACTACTAACTCTTGGAGCAGTTGAATTTGTAGTGCAGGCCAACCTACATTTTTAATAAATAATTATACATATAAAATTATACCATACAAAAATGTAAGCAAATTTTTACTTTCCCATTGGACTGACTTACCAACTTGATGTTGAATTACATAGTTAGGATCCAAGCTTAGCTTGTGTCCTGGGAAACTATCCAGCATGAGGTAGTAGCACCTCTGCCAGTCTGGGTTTGGATTATTAGGGCTCACTTGCCGAGTGGCAGCCAATCGCTGACAAAATGCTGCTTTACGGAGGAAGCCTGACATAAGAAAAGATGATAATTGTTAGTAAATGTATATAAATATTGAACAAAAATCTTGTTTATGACTAGTATTAAATTTTTTTAAAAGCGGAAAAAGAATAACATGATAATTGATCTGATAATCAGTATAAGTTATGCAAAAACAGTAGTAAATAAATAAATGAATAGTCACAATGTCCATCCGTCTGTCTGTGTACTACATTCTCAGCAAGTGTATAAGTTACAGATGAAATTAAAGAATATTGCAAATTAATTTAATTGTAAATCAATTTGCAATATTCTTTGCCACTTCTATAGCAAATGCATAAATATCCATATTGTTACGAATTATAATGACCTCTAATTACCACACATAACTCTAATATGTTAATTATAAATTAACAGACCACTCCTAGTGATTATATCTTCAGACAAAATACTCGGCACAAATAATTAAGGATACAGGTTTGTCCAATTGGAAATTCTAATTCTAATCCAGTCTAATTTCAAAGGGATTACATACATTTTTTGATAAATTCATTACCATCTTTGGTGGTATACTTAGGTGCTTGCAAATATAAATAATAAAGAATACAAACCAATTTCTTTATAAAGTTCAGCCAGAGTGTCAAATCTTTGAATCTTTTCTTGTTCACTCAGTGTCAAGTTTATGAAAATAACATTCTGTAGAAAGCTAGATGCATGCAAACTGTTATTCTGTTCAACAGCAATTCTTGCCGCTTTAAAACATGCTTCTGTCTCTATTATTCCAGCATTTTGGTATTTACTGTAGTGAATTATAGCTTTGCGATATTTTTCGGCAATGTCTTCGCCATTCAGAAGGTACTGATTTTGTAATTGTGATGGTGGTTGTCTTGGTATAGATGGTAAGTCAGGACCCAAAAATGACTTTTGACTTTGACTTTGATACTCAATGTCACTTGAGGAGGCTAATGATTCCGAATCACCATTATCAGTTTCTGATTGTCTTGATGACAACTCGGTACTGTCAGATGATGACGGTGTTAGTTCACTGGGTAGATTGACTGGACTAGAAGCTTTAGATGATTTCAGAGGACTAGATGAAGTGGATTTATATCTCCTATATGGTTCCATATTTGGTTGGAATAATGATAATGCTTTGGTTTTACTAGGAGAACTTTCTTGTAGACTGGCATTCCTTTGTAAAGGTATAGAATTTAGTAAGTTTGGGTAAAGAAGTATAGCAGAAGCTGCGCAGAGACCTGAAATAGATAGGTATAAGTATATAATTCAAATATAAAAAAATTGCACACATTAAAATTTATGAACAAACATATTTATTTAAATAAATTACCTTCTTTAGCTGCCGCTAACCAAAGCCAGTCATTAACTGATTTCAGTATCTCTGCTGAGTTGTGATACAAGCTAAGGCTTTCTGGTACTAATCCAGCTTGTAAAGTCAAATCAGCTAGATTCTTCGTCACACGGCCCATACATCGCTTTTTATTATTACGAGATTCCATGTCAAGGCCTGTCAATAATATATTGTCTTTAAATTTGATAATTCTCAGTAGCTTTATTTCAAAGGATAATGATTTTTTAATTATATTTAAAGAAGCCTAAATAATGTATAATGCTGAAGTGTGTCTTAGTCATTGTGCAGAGATAAAAGTTCAAAAAAAGAAAAATAAATTTATTTTGAGCATACAGTTTATATAGCAAATCTACTTATGTATATGAGATATTAAATCTGTATTTATTTTTCTTTATTAATGAATCACACTGATTTACAGTGGAACTAGTGGGAGTAATATATGACCTTAAATAATTAATAATTAAAACTAATATTTTACAAAGCAAATACTTAATAACTTACCCACAAAATCCTTTTTCTCAAATGGAGCTAAGAGGAGTGATACTTTTTCTAATTTCTCTCTAGATCTCTCTAATCTTTTAGACTCTACAACCCAGAAGAGAGAATTTATTAAATCTGCCACATTCTGTTCTAAATCAGGCACAGGATCATTTTCACCATAGAACATGGCATGGGTTTTGAAGTTGGATGGTGTGGTGAAGTTCTCTTCTTGGATAGGACAAGATGCATTTGATGAGACAGAATGTGGAAAGCTTTCAGATGATGATAAGCTATCTGAATGTTCACTGGGCATGGAAGTCCTGCAAATGTTGGAAATGTAAAGGAGTTGTTAATTATGGCACATACAGCCACTAAAGAGTAGAAAGACTATTCATACCATACATATTATACATTGAAAATGTATTTGCATGTTTAATTAAGTGGCTGAATATACTTTTAATGAATTTTGATGTGAAAATGGAGTATGTAATATAGATGTTTGTTGTATGTATATGTTTTTTATTTCTTCATAAAAGCAGAAGAAATAAATCAGCAACTAATAAATGATATTTTTCTTCAATAAAATAAAGCTACTCACTTATCACTAGTACTTCCATCTCTGAACACCTTATCATCTTCAAATAAGCTATAGTTTTCAGGTTCCTGTTCTGGTTTCTTCATATTACTGATTGGACCAAACATGAATGCTCGGGAATCATATAGAGTATTTATGTATTTCACCTTCAAAGATTCATGGACACGGCACACTTCATTTAATTCTACTTGATTAGTGAATTTACTCAGTGTTATGAGTCCAAGAAGACGTCTGTAAAATTACATTAGTAAAGATTATTTGTTTAAATTCCAAAAATTTACAAGTTGTACATGTTCTTAGTATATTGTAAATGTCTTGTTTGCATAACTTTCATTCAAGCCAATATTTTCAAGCTAACATTTAAAATGTGGCATATATGTAATACACTAAAGGCACTAAAACGTTACAACACCACAACATTACTATTGATAATATTCGTAGACTGATTTTGTCAGTACTAATAAAAACATAGAGTTAGTTAAGCATTAAGTAAAAAGATAATTATGTACCTATGAGTTTGAAAATCACCCCAATCATTGTTCTCCACAGGATAATCTCGAACATAACGCACCCAAATATCCCTTACTTGCCCTGTTGAATCTGATTAAAGATAAAATTTATATTATTATCTAATAAATGATTAAGCAAAACAAATATTTAATGATAGTAAAATCTTTAAAAAAAGTATATTATTACAGTGTGACAGATGGTACAGCTTACCAGTAACTTTGATGTTATTGACCTTTTGTATCCTGTCCCATAATTTATTGAAGTTTTTAAGCATGCCGCCAATGCCCTTAACCAGCACCAGCAGGCAGGCATGGTGCTGGGCATGTTGCGAGTAGTCAGGGTGCGACATCACCGACTCCCCGGGAGCGTGAGACAAAATATAGCTCACAGAAGAGCGCATTGATAAATCATTTGCTTAGAACTAGGTTGAAGTTACGTGGCTATGATTGTCCGACAAAATATTAACGTTTTCCATTCGAGTTAACACATACATAAATAATATACAGTTTATGTGGTTAGTTATATGCAAAATATAACTATAAATATAATTCTTTATTTTTAAATTATAGATAAAAATTGCAATAAAATTATTTACGAATTAAAACACAAACAAGAAAATTTAATATATTTTGTTTACTATTTGACAAGTAATTGTCAATTTTACATTGACATTCAGTTTATTGACAATAGCAATTTGAAATTTAGCAACATTGTGTCCACGTTTGGCTGTCATTCTTGCTATCATTCTTTCTTTCAGTATACAGTGTATGTATTTATTTGTATTATAAATTGCTTGCATTTTTATAACCTCAAAAATTGCTTTTTGAAAGCCGATGTTTTGCAAATATTGTATACTTCAGTAAATTATTCTACATATTTAGATTCAAATTTTGGCGTGAGATAAATGGCGTCAAAAGAAGGAGGTGATAAAGGGAAGGTTAGTTATCCATTAAATGTTGACAAAATTAGTCAATAATATTTTGATGTTAGTCATTCCATTAAATGGTGTAATTTTTTTAGGGCGGTCAAGGTGCTGGGGATAATAAAGAGAAACGACGAAAGGAATCTATTCTTGATCTTAGTAAATATTTAGAGAAAAGCATTCGCGTTAAATTTGCCGGCGGTCGTGAAGCCGCTGGCATACTTAAAGGTTATGATCCCTTACTGAATCTTGTACTAGACAATACTACAGAGTTTTTGAGAGGTGAGTATTTACTGGGTATCTTCTCTTCTATATTTATTTAATCAGCTTATCTTGAATGCAATGTATATAATGTATATTCACTTTATTTTCCTATCTAAACCAGTTTTTGCGTCCAAGTATAAATTATGTTTTTTTCTGTACTTTATGATTATGATGCCTTGTTATTCTTCAAAAAAGTCTCCAAATTTTCTTAAAATAAAATATGGTAAGTATTACTTCAGATACCACATTAAAAAAGTAGGATGTCAGCTTTTCTAATTCCAGTCGTATAAAAAATCCTATTACATATTTTAGTTTATTTACTTATTTTTTTCAGACCCTGACGATCCATATAAGCTTTTGGATGATACAAGAGCATTAGGTCTTGTGGTCTGCCGTGGTACATCTGTAGTGTTAATATGTCCTATGGATGGTATGGAAGCAATACCAAATCCTTTCATCACTCAAGAAGGATAGGTCATAAAACTTTAACATTATGATTATGTAATTTCTAAGTTAATAATAAGTATATTTAAGGACAGTAACTAGTTTTTTATTCAGTAATTTCTGACAGTAGTAGAGTTTATTTAATAAGAAATTATTCAAAATAATATTCTTATTTAAATTTTAGATATATAGCCATAGCTTAGGTATTATGTAATTTATGAAATGCCTACTGTAAAATTTTTCTTAAAGTTTGAATAGGATGGATATCTTGGGATCTTTGGCTCAGCCTCAGATAATAGCATAGTTCCAGCAGAGACTATATATTTTACTATATGATTCTATTTTATACCATTCATTTTCCTAGCATTTTATAATAATGCCATTAGTATGACCATACTGAACAATTTATTAGGGTTCTAATTGATAATCATTATGGTTCTTAGTTGTGTTGTAATGCATATTTTTTATTCTATAATGAATTAAAAATTTGTAGTTACAAGGAAGCTACCAATTTTATGATAAGCTAACAATTTTTGTATGATAAGGCACTTTACAGACTGACACTGACACTACTTTATTTTAAAAATTTCACTTGCAATTCTATTTAAGATGGAGTATAATAAAATTTATAATGGTAGATGTGAGAGTAGCAATTTAATGACATCCAAGGTCAAGAAAAACTACAGAATATAGATAGCAGTCTTGTTACATTAGTAAAATATACAATCCATTGAATCCATGCTTAATAAATAGTACATTTTTAAATACACAAAATATATCAATATTGGAAATTGAAATACAACAAATTAATTCATTATATATGAATTTTATATTTTGGCTTAGAATTAATCATAAAAAAATATTTACATTGAAGCAATTCTGGTAAACAACAAATTTTTTTTTTTGTTTACTAAATAAATTATTGCACACTGCCGAATAGCTGAAATTATTGATTAAAATTCAATACTGATGATAATTTTGTTCTAATATTAAAATTAAATTTATTTATGGTAACTAACACACCTATAATCTAACACTAATCATGCTGCTATCTGATCATTTAATCAAAGCCAAATTCGTTTCTTAGCCAAGGATAACTTTTAGGACAGTCTGTACAAGTTATCATATATTTATCATGTTGTAATACTTTCGACGGTAATTTACATGTCCTTGGTTTATTACATGCTATTTCGCTATCTTCAAATTGTTTCTGTTTGCATTGCCATGGCTCAAACTTCTTCAGTTGGAGTACGGGAGTAGGTCGCTTTATCCAGTCAATGACTTCTTTGTACGTAACAAAATATACATCCGGTAATTTTAGCAGTTCGTCTAAAAATGCCTTTAAAAAAGATTTATCATTGTTAATAATTGAGCTACCTGTGAGTATATAATTGCATGTTTGTATATAATAATTTTAGAGCAAAGTTTTATTTAATTATAATTCTTATATAATATTAGCGGATCCAGACGTGCTTCTGTGCTGAAAAGCCGTGTAAGTTCCAACGGGTCCAATAGTATTTTCATACCATCCAGGGAACCATTGAAATTTCATAAAAATGTATGAAATTTTCGGTGTATATTTATTAGGACTGAGATTAAGTCTTAGGCGCAAGGTATTTATGTGAGAGATGGGTGGCCCCATCTAGAAATAATTTATATGACAAAGCATAATTTCCCAAAAAAATATTTATTTTTACATACCTTTAGAGCAAAGGTATAGTTATTATTCTTCAGCCACGTAGAACTAATATGTATACCAAAAGGCGCTCTGTTTTTCAAGTAATGTCTCTTGAAGTTGTTCACTAGAACATTGTAGACATCCTCTCTAGTTAGAGTCGATGGGCAGTATTCCAACGTGGCACAGATATGTCCATCATTCACCAGCGGGTTTATGGCCATTTCCCACAGACCGGCATAACTTCGCGTGGGACAGTATTGATTATTTCCTGTAATCAAATATAACATATAGACGTTTGATTAAGGCATTCACAATGACATATGTTAGGGATATTAGCCTAGCTTAGAAGAGCTTGTTCATTAAAACACACACACAGATAATGTAATCCTAGAACTTAAGTAATAAATTGTAATAATATGAACCAGACAGTTTCTTTAAAAAATCATAAACTAAAAACTTTCCGTTGATATGAACGCGAGGGTAATATTTCAATCATTAGGTAATAAAATTAATTAAAATTATGTAGTTAATAGTAGTAACTTTAAATATATTTGGCACCGAATTAATGACGCTAGAGTTGGCTTTTCAAATTATGAGATTGGGAACGCCAACCCCTCATAACGGGAAGAGGCTAGTATGATAAAGAAGAATAGTAGTAATTTAATACTAATAGTTGTGTTACATACATAAAATTAACTGTTCAAAAAGTTATTACATCTCTTACCCAAGCAATTTAATGATTCAAAATACGGTATTCTGCACTTAAGTGTATTGGCGCATTATATCACAACAATGGTGCATCATGTGCGTGCTACATTCTTGTGGCGCGATATCTACATTTATATATCACACTTCGTAGCATCTTACTTAATCGTTATCGCACGTTCTATTTATTACATACTAGTGGATAGTTTTGACTCCGCCATGTTGAATAGGAGACATTGAATTTAGTGGATTAATTCATACATAAAATAAAAATGTGTAAAAGACCTGAATGTCAGTTGTTTTAGATATAAACAAAAAAAGTAGAAAGACGTAGTTAAAAAATTTAATGAAATTTGACTTTACTTTTGAAATTTACTCGACCGAAGTTACATCGGGTACAAAGAAGTAATAAATTGATCATTCACACAGTGTCTCCTAGTCGCCAAACTATGAAAGCTTATACTACTTATATATTGATACTGTACACAACATGTAGGTATATAATACTAAGAAAAAACGGTCACACACTTAAACAAATATTTGAAGCATTTAGGAATAGAACCTACCTAAATATTGAACAGTGAATGGGCGTATTAAATTGCTAAGTTATCAACTCTAACTGAAGACCAACAGTATCATGCAACGGTGTTCACGTTAATTCCAGTAAAGTGCACCCTGTGGTATAATCTGGGATATAGTTTATCCGAGTCATAAATTTAATTCCGATCCGTCCAGTAGTTTTAGCATTAAAGAATAACAAATATCCAGCCATTCTTATGCTAGTCGTGACAGAATCCGAAACATGATCATTAGGAGCAAAACCCGAATTATTGATGTAGGATACGTATGCTAAGTACGACATATTTAAAGAATCAACACGACAGACAGTCAGGTCAGATTTTTTGATGACCGCTGGATGACTATGGCATCGACAAGCCATAAATCGTGGAGCGTGGAAACGGATAGGCATATCACCAACCCCATTCTGAAGACGAAGAAGAAGATCCATTCTATACATATAAACTTTCGTTTTTATAATATTAGTAAGATTTCCTACCTGTGCACTTATGTGGCATTTTGTAATCGAGTGTGTATGGCCAGTAGGGTGGGTCGGCTAGCGGTGCTACCACAGTGGCGTCGTATACGAATCCAAACTCCTGCATCATGAGGAACTGTCGGTTCCAGCCCACCGATAGATATGGCACTCGAAGACCTCTGTCACATAATATAAATTTTAATAAGTACGTCACACCGATTTCCTTAATGGTAATTAAATTTTAATAAGTAAGATTTAATTACCATTATGTAAATCGGTGTGTAAACGTAAAATACTGATACCCCTTTATTATACAGACTACATAGTTACCCACTTTGAAATATAAATACATAATATCTTTTTGTAATATATATTCAATAAAAAACAAATTGCAACCCACCTGAAATCTTCCATGCGAATTCTACCAAATCTATTAATTATATTCGCTTGGCCCACCATCTCGTCGAACCAGTCTTCTACCGTTGCGTTTTTGGACCACCATTCTTCAGGACCTCGATGTCTGGCATACACATAACTTTTTTTAGTATTTATATAATTTCTTTAACTTATAGGCCTATCATCTTATGATTCTCATCCTAATCATTATCTTACATTTAGTCAATAATAACTGTATGTACACCTAACCCATAGTTTAAAAAATGAGCACATCGATAATTTACCACGAATATATGCGATAATTTCAATTTATCATCTGTTGCGACTTCATTAGTTAGGAAATTTTACTAAAAATAGACACAATACAACATTACAATTAGGTACACTTACAAACTAATTAATAACCTTATTTCAATGCCTTACGTGATAGAATTGATTGCGATTTCGTGTCCATCGTTCCACAGTTTCTGCACATGTCTGTAGTTCGTGTACAGATGTGATACGAAGAAAGTAGCCTTAATAGGACAACCATTCGGGTTGCGTCTCTCATTTGTAAACAGCTGTTTCCCGTATGCCTCCCAGTTCTCATGGTTTACAGGGCCGTCAAAAGTCAACGTGATCATTTGAGGAGTCTGTTGTTGAATAACTTTTAGTTAAATACAGGATTAACTTAGTGTTAGTACCTAGATACCTACTTAAAAATAAATAATAGAATAGAATTAACTTTTATTGTGACTAACAATAAGTTTAATTTTAATAATTTCAAATAGTAGGTATTTCTGTATTTTCTTAGTCTACTACCCATTCGGAATCGAGAGTCAGCCGACAAAAACACGGGAAAATAGGCTATGCTATGCATTTTAAGCAACTTACCTAATTAGAGCACTATTGCTCTAATTAGGTAAGTTTGTGTTGGTCATGGCCTAAAGTAGTGAACCGATTTTAAAGAAATCCCGATCATATCAGTCGATCCTAAAACGAGCCATCGAAATATGTTTAGTTTTGACGAATATAACATAGACATTAGTTTAAAAATACAATTAGCATCGGTGATTAATATTGTTTTCTCACTTGACTTGGTACAAGATTTCCAGGCGTTTCAGTACCGTTCTTGGTACAAAAGCAATCTGGCAACTGACACATCTTCGTGTCACACGGTTCAGCTGCATTTGGATCATAGTGGACGTCACACCAACCCTGTCAAAGTAAATACTTATATCATAACATAATACTCAGTAGATTAGCGATTTAGAACACATCTTTTGTATTTATGAGTATCATTGTTTGTTTTGGTCTGGGTATAAAAATTATATGAAAAATCTAGATAAATTCACAGGATATACATGACATCTTAGTCCTGGCAACGGCAACGGTAAATGTCAGTAACGTACATAATTAATACTATATGATAATATTCTTAGAGTGTTCTTTCTTTTCTCTTTTTTGGTGCTGTAATTATATAGCATCCTAATCAACAACGAAGAAAGGTTAGCTAACCTTTCTTCGTTGTTGATTAGGATGCTAGTACCTACTTTAATATAAAGCCATATTATAATGGATAGCTATCCATTATAATAAGGTTTTATATTAAAGTAGGTACTTAAATATTACAACTTTTAAATTATAAGACCTACATAATGCTGCTGATGTTCGTAGAATATGACATCGTGTTTCTTTTTAGCATGTGGTGAAAGTTAATGGACACTAGATTAGTGATGTTGGTGTTAGAAAATGGAGAACTTTGAGAACGTTACATATAATATAAGAATAGCAAATCTCGACAGGTCAGTGAAACTTTTCACATTGTAAACAAATTTTGTTTATATAATATTATAGTTACTGTACGATCTCTCGAAATAAAGTTTAGGGCAAGAATTGCATTAAACTATATGTTGAAGGTTATTACATGGATTACTAATTAATAAACTAATTTTACATAATGTGTTTTTGTTTGTATTTGTATATGCCAAATATATTGTTCGGATTTTTACTATATTCTGCATTAGTAGGGAAAGTAAATAATTGAACCTATATATTACTTAGTTATTATTGGATTATGGTACCCATATATGATGAAATTAAGTTTAATCTTATTTCTATATCTAAATATGAGTGTATTGAGGCGCCTTCGTAGTTATTTCGCTTTTCAGTATTATTTGGAGCAAAGTGCCAAAGAACTCATGAAATGAATATTTCTTGACGTGTTTTCTTAGAATACCTCATCCGAAGCGTCGTCGCAGTCTATGGATCCATCACAGAAGTATTCCGCCGGCTGGCACCTACCATCGGCGCAACCAAGGTGCGTATCGTTCGCGCATCTCGCTCCGTCCAGTAGAGGTTTTGGTACACGTGTTTCTTAAAAGAGGATTAGTAATATTTGAAGTATGGTTCTCTTATTTGATAAAGCTTAAATTGACTACTGGACACAGGGCAAGTCCCATATTTCATGGTACATCTCATTTTGAGATAAGTCCCACTGAAACAGGCTGTGTTTACGAATATTTTTAATATAGATACCATAACTCATTTAAACACGTTTTTTTATAATATAAAAGAATATGTTGCGTGCAGTAATAACTATAATTTTAAGTCTAAATAAAACGTAATATAACAACAAAGACAATAAACTTTTTTTTACAGTTCTGCGATAAAATCCGCATTTATAAATTCATGATCCTTAACAACCTTTTTGTCAGTCAAAATGATAATTTTAGATTGAAAAAAAAGTTAGTAAGGGCATAAGGGTATTGAAGTTAGAAGATGGTGGTTACCGGTTGTAAGATCACAGTTATGCACATTATGTCGTTTGTCGCACAGTTGTCGATTGACATCGAAAAGTAAGTCTTGAGAACAATGGAACTCAAAAACATCGCCGTCCACGCAAAGATAATATTTTGCGCATTCATCGCTCGTCCATACCAGATCGTCGACGCGGTCCGGGTTTCTGAAATTAGGAATTTTTTATATCATTAATTTAGAGATTGTGAGACTTATGAAGGTAATTTGGTATAAAGTCATTTGTGAAGGTAAGCATCTCTGGCACACGTTTGTAGATATTTGCAAGGCAGCTTGTTTCCAAGATGTGTACTAATTTGTACATTGAGATAAGATTGTTATTTTACTGGGTCCACTGTGACCATGTATGTAAATGTAGAACTTGAAATAAATATAAGTAAAAATAAGTAACATTCCCTTCGTCGAGTAAATGGATTATATCTAACTATAATATATTTAATTCTAAGTTAAAAAGTAAGAACGTCTTATGCCCTATTGTCTCTGATCAACGCGACGGTTGAGTGGTAGATAATGCCATCACACATTAAGTCCGCCATAGATACATTTTTGTGTGCAAAAGAATAAATAATGTCCTAAATGGGTTCTCAAGATAAAAACTATTATAATGGCAACTTAATCTATAACGGGTTATATTCTAGACGACGTTAAGATACTAGATAGGAACTGTATTTACTCCTCCGCTGACAGTGTATCTGGAGGTATACACTTATTTAAAAAGTTTATATAGGTGTCTATAGTATGAGCACGTGAACAATAAAAGATCCGATTAAGAGCGAAAGTAAATTTATGGAAATTGTATGAACTGTGAAATATAAACAGCTGGTAGTGCTCAGTCAATCAAGGTTGCGGCGAAAGTCGCGAGGTCGTTGTCCGCAATGGCGGGACGCGGGAAATGGTTCCTATACGCTGCCGCGTCACGCAATGTGTGATCAAGTGTTGTATATTAACGGAAATCAACTTATTACAATTGAGGAATTACTTACTCGGATATAGTAGGAATCTACTTCCGTACCCTTACTGCAAGATTTTATAAACCCGAGATTAAAAATCAATAAAGAGCGTTTTGACCTAGAGGATTACTATCTGTGCTACCAATTAAGTGTTTTAAAATCCAAGAGAATAATACCAAAAAAAGTCTGGCTAATACCAAAAAACTTTGTATGATTATTTATAATCCTGACTGACAATTCTGTGAAGAAAACGTCGCGTCGATATCAAACCAAAATTTAAACTGATATTCTTATGAGAGACTCTGGTAGGATGAAGTATTCCCAGCGAAATGTATTATATATTTTTTTATGTAATTGTTATCGTTAACCAACTAATGGTCCACTTTATGGTAAGCATTAACCGTCGCCTATATTTACAACACTAGGGCTTTGTTATCATTGATATAATGTGACATCCCTGCTAGATTTCATTACATTCCAGAGACTAAGATGTAACGCAGTAATTTTACTAACTAATAAGTAATTGCATTACCTAATCACACTCTACAACCAAAATATAACTTGCTTGGTGGTTGAAATAGGCAATACTTATGCAGGCGACTTTTTACGATTGTCTACCTCTAGTAAAATCTGACAGTGGACAATCCTTAGAACTAGATCAACTAGGTTAACAATGGATTGTTACCATTGTTATCCCAGATCCAATTCTAGCGATTTACTTTATTTGTTAAAAATCCCTGTTGGAAATTAAAAAATGCGATGTGTCAATTATCAGTTTTCTAAATCTTTGACAGTGTTAGTGTGAGCAAATAAAAAACTTATAAATTAAGATACATTCTTCTTACCAAACCCAGAACAGAGATAGTGATGGTGTATAAAAAATGCTAAATATTAGCAAAAGATCCCATACTAGGGACATGATATGGGACGTTTTGCTATTATTTTTTATTTAAGATAATCGCTATTGAATTTTTATCTATACCGTAGATACTTCGTCTATATAACTTTAAAGTACCACGCACGCACAAATAAATGTCAGTATAATATATACATGAATCGAAGAGATTACTCCGTTAATGATCATGTTAAGTTTACGCACTTTATTTTCTTATGAGCAGTTACGTCTATAGTGGTTACGTGATCGTTACTTATGCCACATTGTAAAATCGGTTAAAATGTACCTACGTTATGGGCAGAGTCATTGTGTTTGTGTTCTATGGCAGATTTTTAAAGTACCTAATAGGTACAGAGTATGTATAAAGTGTAGATATCAGGGAAGAATTCAATGGGATACTAAAGCGTATAAATCCATCAGGTACTATAGTAAGCATTAAGTCTATTTTAACATTTTCGTTCATACTTAAACATGTCTATATTAGTATCTATATAATGGTATCTTATATATCATATTAGTAAGAGTGGGCATATATTCTGTTACTTAGTTTTAGTACTTAGTATTAGACACATAGATGATCCAAATCGCTTCGATATTAGCATAGTTATCGCGTTATACATTGACAAAATCTTTCTGAATTCAATATTCTCGAGGTTGTTTTTAGAGTTAAGCACATGAAGGAAAATAAAACAGTATAAATAAAAACCCTTCTGTTATAACTCTCTTCTGTTATAACAGCAATTATATTCGTTAAGTACATATATTATAATTAAACTTTTAATTTATTATATTAAAAGTTTAATTATAATATAATAATATGCCTACCTACTATATACTTGTATAATCTAAACATATTAAAAAAATAAGTACGCTGGATAAAAATATAGAGGTATCGATTGATATAAAAGAGTTCAACGCGTTCATTTCCAGTACCTACGTGTTTTATTTTTTTCATTAATTTTCTTACTTTGATTTTGTCTAGATTATTCATATAAAATCATATCATAGTTATTTCATTAGAATATAAATGTTTTATTTCTATGCATTACTACATTATTAATTGGACAAAACCGCATTCAGCAGCTCTCCAAAGTTTATGATGTAAAATAAATATCATATCTCCATTTTTTTTATTATTAAATAAAAAAACGGCATAAATTATTTCGTGCTTAGCATTCACTTTCAACTATACCATCAATTAGTGTTAACCATGCGAAGGTGGTTAAGAAGGTAAGTAGTTATTAGGTAAGAATTGTTACTCATTTGTTCAGTAAGGACCGCACTTTACTACTTAATGACAAACAATAATTGAACGTTGCGCCAATAGCCTTGAATAGAGTGAAATTTTAAGGGAAAGCTTTTAAATATTCTTTACTTTATTGAAATACAAAATAGTATTTTCTTTGCTTAATTAATAATGTTTAAATTATTAAGATAGAAGAAAAAGGTATCTATTATATTATTTAATCACCAATATCTTTTATATATTTCAATAATAAACAAAAACAATAAAAACACACAATTTAATTGAATTTTACCCCAACAAGTTAGTCAAAAGTGCACTACGAATAATAACGGTTAAGCTTAAAAATCATAGTAAACTTGTAATAATTGTTTTTGGATTCTATTACACTGACTGAGTCGTCATATAATAGTTTATCTAAAATACTACCATATACAGACAAAACACTTTCATTTTTAAATATTATTACTATAGAATACTAATTCAAGGGATTATAAGATCTGACTCTAGTGAACGTTGTAACTGACGGCGTATCTACTATGTCGATGATTTACTTTCATATTATTTAGTTATAAAGTAGCTATTAACGTAGAAATAAAAATACTTCGAAAGTTCATACATAAATGTATTAAGCAGTTGTTCCTATTAATAACTCTTTTAATTTTTGCATATTAAGGATACAAAATAAATCTTTTTAAACTTTCTCTATCGAAACCAATACGATATATTTTCGGGCAAAGTGTGCATTTCTGTGATATATTACTACTTTAACAATTTATTGGATAATCATCATCATGATCATCTCAACACGGAAGACGTCCACTCTTGGACAATATTAAAATTATATTTAAAATTCATTAAATATATATTAAAATTCATAGTTAAAAATTTATTATTTTTGTAGGTTTGCCAAAATAATCTCGATAACTGTTTGTTGTGAAATCCAATAACTACACGAGTTAAAAAAGATGTTCGATTAATAAGTATAAATGTGCGTAAGCTATTGTAATGCCAGTGCTTCTAATTTTACTAAAGCTGGTTTGAGATTAGTCTGTCTATTTATTTCAAATCTAGAGCGGGATTTGAATGTAGGCTATGTCAAGCGTCATCAACACCGTATAGTGGTTTCCTTCAGATATGTATGTAGATACATGTAGAGCTATTTACAGCTGTTATAAAAGTTTACCTATAAGCTTACTTTATACAGGAAGTATATTGTATAGGTACATATATACAGACCTGTAAAATCTTCCATTTATGTGACACTTCATATCCGTTAAGCTTCTTTTTGCCACATGTCTACTCTGCACTTCTGAAATATTGTTCTATTTGAAAATTACAGCTAACACACACATTGAAAACAATTAAATTATTGTTTTTTTTAAAATACTAAGTGACGCAAGATACATTGTAAGTAATTGAAATCCTCAATATTTTTTTACTTATTACCTCATATAGGTAATAAGTAATAATATTCCAATTTTACCTACCTAAAATTAATAAAAATATGACAAATGCGTTAGTAATTTGAAATCGTAAGTGTAGTAGAGCCATGTTGTGGCTCTGGTTTCTGTAGAGGAACTGAGTTATCAATAAACCGCTCATTCATCGTTGGACTTTCTTTTACTTCACTGTAGTGAATATGGTTATATGGAAAGTAAAGAAATTGGCAAGTAAGTATTGCCCTAACGATTATATAATATTTACAATGAAAAGTTCAGAACTAACTATTTATTCATAATATACAAGTACACGTGAGTTATTTACAAATACTGTCATAAAATGTTTTCAATAGTTTTGCAACTAATAAATAAGTAGGTATATGTAGTACCGAATAATAGGTGTAGTTGTGGAGGACAGAACTCAAAACACCTTACGTCACGATCCTGGTACCTCATTTATCCAAATTATTTTGTACCTGTGACTGGGCGCTACTCCACATCTTGCCGGTAGACAATTAATGTAATTGAAAAATGTCGATGTTGAATTTATTTAAGAAATTTAGTCAGAAAAAAATCATATAAATCATATACCTATTTTAGAGCGCCAAAAAGAAATTGCAGAACTGAACCTTTATTACTCGACTTTGTCCGTCTGCTCGTCCCGCTGCTTTTCCGTCTGTATGTTACATAGCTATATTTCAGAAACTAATTAGGTAATAATGGCTAATGCTATATAGATATGGAAGTAAACGTTTTAGTAAATATTGGCTCGTTATAATGAAAGTTAAGATTTAAACGATTAAAGAAATATCTGTTACATTCATCAAAACAATATACCTAAAGTAGTGAATTTTCGCAATATCAACGCTGTGTTTGGAGAGGAGACTGCACCGTGTGTTTTTGATTCAAACTATTTCGCAATGGAAACTTAGACTTGAAGAATGAACCACGTGAATTAATACATAGGTAAATAACGCTGAGTCGATGGAGATGGTGGAAGCCGATCCCAATAAACCAGAAATTAACGGCATGGTTTAATGTTAACTTATCTACAATATTGCATCAAATCAATAAGATAAAAAAAAAAAATAACGGCTGCCTCATGATTGGACTGACATGCAGAAAGAAATGCGTGTTGAAACTTTTGTTGCTTTGTTGAATCGGTCCAGAAATGAAGGCTTATTGGATCGAATTGTGACATATGACGAAAAGTGGATTCTTTACGATAACTATAACCAAAAAATGCAATGACTGACCCCAGGTCAAACGCCTCAAGTGCCCTAAAGTAAACCTTGCGAATTAAAAACCAATGATAACTGTTTGGTAGTCTTTTCATTATGTTATTCACTATAGCTTTCTCAAGTGTGTAAAACAATGCCAGCAGAAGTCGATAATATTGATATTCATCTATGAATACCTACTGTACTATTTTTTAGACCGCAAGTTTTTTTCGACATTTTACCTTTTTTTTTTATTTTGCTACTACCTATTAATATTATATTTTTATTGATATAGTTATTATGTATTCACGTCGAGATTTAACATCGTCGCGCCAATAATAATAATAATAATAATAATAATAATAATTTATTTATTTGCTTGCTACATGGTAGTTTCGGATCTTATTAACTAATAAAAGTACAAGACATGCAGCACCCCTTAGAGGTATGCAAATATTCAAATTAAATCATATTCAATTTAATATAAAATTATGTCATTACATTACGAATACCCACAAATATATTTAAATATCTATATTAATTAATTACTGTCAATATTTATAGTTATTAAGAAAAATTATATAATGTCATCTATTTTGCATGTAAAATAATCTTTCACTGAGTAAAAACACTTATTTATCAGCCATTTCATTAATTTGTCTTTGAACCATTTTAAACAAAGATTTGTAATTGTAGTTGGTAATTTATTATATATATTTATGCAACAGGTATAACTATTACTGTGATACAAACGTGTACACGACGGAATCAATTAGATATAATTAGTATAAGCAAAATTTGTAAGATCATTTTTGTTAATAAAAATAAATCACGCAACGTACAGTTGCAGTAGGGAAGGCCACCCGTCGGGCGTCTATATAAAGAGCGCGGCCGCGCAGCGGTCCGCATTCACCGGCGAGACAGCGACCCGATAGGTGCCTTCCTACCAAGTACAAGATAACAACCGAGCATTTTTATTTCGCCGCCCGACCATACGACCAGGGGATCCTAGTATATAGTCCTGTCATCATCATTGTGGTCCTTCGAGAAGCCGGATCCCTGCACCAGGAAGAAAATCAAGATGGTCGTGACGCGAAGCATGAATGAAGAAGGCACTAAAACGAAAAACTCGCATGAATCCACCGAAAACGAAACAAGCGCCGAATCCTCTATGCAGTCAAGTCAAGTGGAGGACTCACCGAATAGAGAAGACACCTCCCAGAAAACAGTGAAGGCGAGGTCACACCGTTCCACGGTCTCAAGGAAAAAACTGGAAGAATTGGAGATTAAAGAACGACTGGCCAAGTTAAAAATCAAACAGCTGCAAGCAGAGGCAGATATGGAGATAGCGCGATTACAACGTTTACGGGCAGAAAAAGACTCCGAGGAAGAATATTCTGAAGAAGAAAATGAAGACTCCACGTGGGTGGATGCGTGGTTTGATCAACAGCCACGCGAAAAAGAAGTTCCTATGCCACGGGAGGAGAAACAAGATGAGGCAGCCGCGGAGAGGAAATTCAAGCAACCGCAGCAAACCATCGACGTTTCGACATTAACGACAGCACTACTGCAAGCATCAAGAAGACGACCAAGGGAGCCGCCTGCATATATACAAGAGTTGCCTATGTTCAGGGGCCTCTCTTATGAATGGTTATCATTCAAGGCAAGCTACGAAGATACACAGCAATACTTCTCGAAGATAGAAAACGTAGCACGCCTGCGAAAATGTATAAAGGGACCAGCACTAGACGCCGTGAGCAGCCTACTCCTGAGTCAACATGAACCAAATGTCATCATAGAAGCACTGGAAAGAAGATTCGGAAGACCAGAAGCACTCATACTCATCGAGATGGATAGAATCAAGTCACTGAGCAAGATCACCGATAACCCACGGGATCTCTGCGTGTTCGCCGGCAAAATAGCGAACACAGTCGCTACGATTGAAGCACTGAAGAAAACACAATATCTACACAGCCCAGAAATGACACGTCTCATCATAGAGAAGCTCACACCTATAATAAAAAATAAATGGTACGACTACGCGCTGAAAAAGGAAGACATCCCGGAATTGAAGAAAATGTCTGTCTTCCTAAACGAAGAGGCAGACAAATGTGCAGCGTACGCCGCGCCGGAACGTCTCGTTGAGAGCGAGACGGCAACAAGGGAGAGAGCGAGACGGAAGATCGAACATTCATTTGCTACTAATATGAAGCAAAACAATGAAAATGTATGTCCGCTGTGCAAACGCAACCATCAGCTGCCTGACTGCGAGCAATTCAATAACATCGACGTTAATTCAAGATGGGAAACTGCAAAGAAGAATAACATATGCTACAAGTGCCTGAGAAGTAAACATCGACGCGCCGTCTGCAGAGCTCCATGGTGTGGCAAATCTGGATGCCACATGAAACACCATCACTTGTTGCATCATGACAGAAAAGAAGAGGACCAGCTTCAACAACCACCAGAAGAGCATGGGGTGGTAACTTCTACGATGGAAGGCAATGAAGAATGTCTCCGACGTCGCGCCTATCTGAAAATAGTACCTGTCATATTGCAAGGGCCGAAGAGCAAGATAGAAACATACGCTCTTCTCGACGAAGGCAGCACAGTGACACTCATCGATACATCGGTGGCTGACATCCTGGGTATTGATGGTCCGGCAAACACGATGTGGATACAGGGCGTCGGCGCCATGGTCAAGCATGAACACAGCAAGACAACCAGCGTGAAAATCAAGGGCAAACACTCTTCAACCATCTTCAAGCTAGATCAAGTCCGCACAGTGGATCGACTGGATATCACTACCCAGTCGGTCGTCGACAGCGACATAAAGGAGTGTGGTCACCTGAAAGAAATACAAGAAGAACTCGTCTACCACCGTGCCTCCCCCAAGTTATTAATAGGACAAGATAACTGGGATCTCATCGTGTCAAGAGAAGTACGGGCGGGACGTCGTGACCAACCGGTAGCATCCTACACGCTACTAGGTTGGGTTCTGCATGGTTGCAAGACGTCTCTCAGCAACCCGGTGACTTTCTGCGGGCACCTGGTGGAGAAGAAAGATGACGTCAACATAGAAGAAATGATGAAAAATTACTTCAAGCTGGAGTCACTATGCATCGAACCCAGAAAACCAAAAAATGATCCAGAGCAGCGAGCTTTGAAAATACTAGAACGAGAAAGTCGCCGTCTTCCGAATGGAAGATATGAAACTGGGCTACTCTGGCGAGAAGACAGCATGAAAATACCGAACAATTACACCGAAGCAAGAAAACGCCTGCATAACCTCGAAAAGAGATTAGACAGAGATGAAGACCTGAAAATTAAATACAACGAACGAATCAATAACCTACTCACGTCGGGGTATGCAGAGCACGCCAAGACACCGCCAGCTGAAGACAGAACATGGTACCTGCCACACTTCCCGGTTGCGAACCCAGCGAAGCCACACAAGCCGCCGCGACTGGTGCATGACGCCTCCGCTAAGACTGCAGGTCTCAGCCTAAACGACCTGCTGCTTTCTGGACCTGACCTGTTGCAATCACTGCCTGGGGTGGTGATGAGGTTCAGACAGTACGCCTACGGAGTCTCTGCAGATATCAAAGAGATGTTTATGCAAGTAAAAATTAAGAAAGAAGACCGCGACGCGCTCCGTTTCCTGTGGAGAGGTGACCGGCGGGAGGGCGACCCAGACGAGTACCGCATGACGTCATTAATATTCGGAGCGACGTCATCACCCTGCACCGCTCTGTATATAAAAAACCGCAACGCAGAAGACTACGCGCATATATATCCCGACGCCGCAATCGCTATACGAAGAAATCATTATATGGACGACTATCTACAAAGCTTCTCATCAATCTCAGAAGCCAGAAAAATAACAAGAGAAGTCGATTATATACATAAACAAACCGGCTTCGTACTCAGCGGATGGGCATCAAACAATCGCAATACTATCGACGAGTTTATAGCAAGCGAGCGAGACAACACTTCAGAGAGCGGGACAAATAGTACAGCGGTTCTGATTGGCGGGAGCGGTACTGAGCGAGCTCTCGGCTTGTTATGGGATATAAATGAAGACATAATTGGATTTCAAGTTAACAAAATAAAAACGCCGCAAGATATATTAGAAAACAAACGGATACCAACGAAAAGAGAAGCGCTCAGCATCATCATGGCACTCTTCGACCCCCTTGGCCTCATATCACCCATCACAACGCCAGCGAAAAGATTACTGCAGGATACATGGCGCTATAAAACAGGCTGGGACGAATCGCTACCAGAAGAACTGCAGCCAGCATGGAGTACTTGGTTGACATCATTGCGAACTGTACACAAGATACGCATACCACGATGCTATGATGTCACACCAGTGGTCACCCATCATCTGCATACCTTCGTGGATGCCAGTGAAGAGGCGTACGCCGCGGCAGTGTACTGGCTGTCACAAAGAGCCGACGGTACCACACATGTCACCTTGGCCGCCGCTAAAAGTCGCGTCGCACCGCTCAAGCCCGTCTCAATCCCGAGACTTGAACTTCAAGCTGCGTTAATGGGTGCGCGCCTCGCACATACCGTGGCGGAGGAGCACGACTACGAAATAGCGAGTAAAACATACTGGAGCGACTCTCGGACAGTCCTAGCATGGATAAGGTCAGAACCAAGGGCCTTTAAGACCTTTGTGGCTCACCGCCTGGCTGAAATAGAAGACACAACAAAAAAAAATGAATGGCGGTGGGTCCCTACACATGAAAATGTAGCTGATGATGCCACCCGAGGTATACCAAGCGAATTCGGACCACAGCACAGATGGTTCAACGGGCCATCATTTTTACATCAGCCAGAAAACGAGTGGCCGCGAGAAACAAGGACAGCGATATCAGTCACGGGCGAAGAGCGAGAGAGATGCCATGTGACCGTTACAAGTACGGCTCACGCACACTTACCTGACATCGACCGATTCTCGCGGTGGCTGCCGCTCATCAAATCGACTGCGCGCGTGCTACAATTTGTCGATCTCTGTCGACCTCAAAGAAATATTGTAGCCGCCACGAAGAAACGAACCAAGCAGAATGAAAAGGGCGATGTTGACTGGAAAAAAAGAATAATGAAAAAATCATAACAAGAAATGGAAGAACGAAAATAACGACGCCCAGCATCCCGGTGCCAGCGCAGTACCTACTTGAAGCCGAGAGAATGTGGATGCGAGCCTGCCAGGAAGATAGTTTCGGGAATGAAATATTGCGAATAAAAAAGGGAAGTCCATTGAATAAACAAGACAGACTGACAGCGCTAAGAGGACGAATTACAGCAACATCGAACGTAGAAAAGGATGTACTCAACCCACCCGTGTTAGACGGGAAACACAGATATACACGTCTGTATATACAACATATACATGAAACAATGCACCACGGCGGTATAGAAGCGGTAGTGAATGAGCTACGGCAGCGGCTGTGGGTTGTAAAAATAAGACCCACAGTACGGAACGTCATCAAGGGGTGTCTGGTCTGCCAGATAAGAAGAAAGAAGCCAGCAAGCCCACCGACCGGTGACCTGCCTGCCGCCCGCCTAGCGCATCACGCTCGCCCCTTTACCTACACAGGGCTGGACTACTTCGGCCCCATTGAAACCACAGTCGGACGGCACCGAGAAAAACGGTACGGCGCCCTCTTCACGTGTATGACATCACGAGCCATACACATTGAAGTGGTGCATACCCTCGGCACTCATTCAGCCATCGCCGCCCTAAGGAGGTTCATGGCTCGGCGAGGTTGTCCAACGGAAATATGGAGCGACAACGCTACGTGTTTCAAGGCAGCTGAAAAGGAACTCAAGGCGGCTATGGCAGCACTAGAAGAGGAGGCCACCAACCGCAGCATCGCGTGGAGGTACATCCCACCCGCTGCTCCCTTCATGGGCGGGGTATGGGAACGCATGGTGCGGTCAGTAAAGGAAGCCCTACGAGTTACGCTGCACGAGCGTTATCCCACAGACGAGACATTGGTGACCCTGCTAGCCGAGGTGGAGAATACAGTCAACTCCCGACCTCTCACTCACGTGTCCGTCACACCGAGCGATCCGGAGGCATTAACACCGAACCATATCCTGATCGGCCCCAACTCACACGTGCCTAATCCCGGAGTGTTCAACAAAGGAGATATGAACGCACGACATCATTGGCGACGAGCACAAGCGTTAGCAGATGAGTTCTGGAGGCGCTGGGTGGTGGAATACCTACCCTTACTTCAACACCGGCGGGAGCCCCGAGGTACCGGTGTTCCCCCCAAGGTTGGCGACACAGTCATCATATGCGACCCCAACCTACCCCGAAATACATGGCCACGGGGACGCGTTGTGAAGACCTACCCCGGGAAAGATAACCCCAACACGGTGCGAGTGGTAGACATCACAACGAGCAACGGGCGCACCCTGAGAAGACCAACAAAACGAATCGTCGTGCTACCAGTAGAATCGCAGGATAGCGACGGCGGGAGAAATGTACACGACGGAATCAATTAGATATAATTAGTATAAGCAAAATTTGTAAGATCATTTTTGTTAATAAAAATAAATCACGCAACGTACAGTTGCAGTAGGGAAGGCCACCCGTCGGGCGTCTATATAAAGAGCGCGGCCGCGCAGCGGTCCGCATTCACCGGCGAGACAGCGACCCGATAGGTGCCTTCCTACCAAGTACAAGATAACAACCGAGCATTTTTATTTCGCCGCCCGACCATACGACCAGGGGATCCTAGTATATAGTCCTGTCATCATCAAAACGTGTTCTCATTTTTGGTAACACAAGTTTTCCAGGATCTCTCACAGAAAATTTATAGAAGTCACCCTTTTTTATAAATAGATATGAATGCATTTTAACAAAAAGGCAGCATTCAAGTATGTACATTGAAGGGACCGTGAGTATCTTTAATTGGCGAAACAGTGGCGAACATGGTGTCATCGGACGCTTACCACAAATTGCTCGGATACACTGCTTTTGCGATACGAATGCTCTGTTAATATCTACCGAGTTACCCCATAGCAATATGCCGTATTTAAGGTTAGAAGCTACATATCCATGATATGCGGTAACCGCGGTTCTTTGGTCTACTAATTTTGACAGTCTCCAGAGAGCATAAACAAACCTATCTAGTTTGTTACTTACTTTTTTCACATGCTGTTTCCATGAACATTGGCTATCAACTGTAATACCGAGAAAACGAATTTCTTTTACTTCATCTATAGTTTCCTTGTTAATTTTTAGTATTAATGGGCGAGTTTTCGGTTTTCTGTTATAAAATCTTATATACTTAGTTTTTTCAACATTAATGTTTAAATTATTTATATTTAACCAGTTTATAATATTAGCAATAGTATTATTGATGTCAATATTGAAATCGATCCCTATAGTCTCTGATATTACTATTGAGAAATCGTCTGCAAACAAAGTAGATTGGTGTTCAGTTACACTTGATAAGTCATTGATATATAGTATAAATAATAATGGACCCAATATTGTCCCCTGTGGAACTCCTATATTATTAATATATATTTCAGATTTATAAGATATTTCTTCAAAATTATTATTCATTCTTGTAATTTCTACATATTGACGTCGGTTTCTAAGATAACTCGTTATCCATTGTAATACAGTACCACGTAAACCATAATTATCACATTTTTTTAGAAGAATATCATGAGTGACATGATCAAATGCTTTAGTCATATCAAAAAAAATAGCAACTGTATCAATGTTTCTATCAATATTTACCGTTAATGTCTTCATGAGTTTAAAAGCTGCTAAGGATGTAGATTTACCTTTACGGAAACCATGTTGTTCATCCTTCAATACTTTGAACCTTTCCAAAAAAGTAACCATTCTCACGTACATGGCTTTTTCAAAAATTTTTGCTAATGTGGGTATTAACGCAATAGGTCTGTAATTATTCATCATAGATCTATCATTCTTTTTATAAAGGGGTCTTATTACTGAGATTTTAAGTAATTCGGGAAATGTTCCTTGCATAAAAGAAAGATTTATGAGATGGTTCAAAATGGGAGATATTATATTTGCGCAGAGTTTCAATAATTTTGTTGGGAATTCATCATAACCCACTGCATGTGTATTATTTAAGGATATTATTATATTGTATATTTCGTCACATGTTGTTGGCGACAGAAACATACTATTTGTATTAAAGTCAAGATTCTTAATTTTATTTTGGTCTGATTTATTATTTTTATAGTTCTTTGATTGATTAATATAAAAGTCATTAAATATGTTGCATATGTCAGTAGGATTTGTTAAAATTTTATTATCATGATTTATTTGGTTAATATGTTTTTCTTGGTTCCTCGTTTGGTCATATTTATTTATTAAGTTCCATGTTGCCTTATTTATATTTTTTGCTCCAGTCAGGTACTTTTTATTATATAACTTTTGAGCTATAGTAATACATTGTTTTAAAGATTTAGAATATTTACGATACTGGGTCTTATTTTCTTGTGTTTTTTTGTTATAATATTTGAAACGTAGTCTTCTTTTTGTAATGCATGATTTTTTTAAACCTTTAGTAATCCAAGAGGAATCTTTAGGTTTACAAGTTATTTTTAATTTTCGAATTGGGCAGCATAATTTAAAAATTAGTATAAAATTGTTATAAAATAAGTTAAACGCTTCATTTAATGTTGTTTCTTCAAATACATCCTTCCAAGAGAGACAATTTAAGTGTCGAATAAATTTATTGATGTTATCTTCACCAAAGTCACGTCTAAATATGTACCACGTTCTATTCGGCTTTTGTTCCCTTGATAAAGGTATTTGGATTATTTGACACGTATCATGATCTGATAATCCCAGTTTGTGTATTTTTCCAATAACATCAGGAACATTACTAACAATTTGGTCTAGACATGAAAGTGCTCTTGTTGGTTCATTAATGTGTATTGTAAATCCGTAGTTTTTTAATATTCTAATATATTCTGTCTTGATATGGCTTTCCTTTAAAATATTTATGTTAAAGTCCCCGGTTATTATAATTTTATATATTTTTTTGTACCGTAGTTTGTCTAATAAAATTTCAAATCTATTTAAAAAAATATTGGGATTCGTTTTCGGAACTCTGTATATATTTATAACTATGCATTTCATTTGTGGTATACTAATGCCACAACACTCAAATGTATGGTCGGTTGTATATTCAGAAAGCATTGGTATTTTGTTAAAACTATAATAATCTCTACAAAGTATGCATACCCCACCTCGTCGCTGATTTTCCCTGGAATAAAAGTCTGCTACACAGTAACCACGCATGCATAAATTTTTTTCATCACCAGGCTTTAAGAAAGTTTCACTGAGACATATAATGTCAACATTGGTACCGATTTTTACTAACTCATCCAGGGTTATTTGGAAAATATCTTGTTTATTCAAAATACCAGCAATATTCTGATGCATTATTACAACGTTATGTTCAGTTTCAGTATCAGGATTACAATGTCATCGAATACTTAATATCGATATTTTCCCATTAAATATCGATTATATTCAACATCGAATATATAACAAGGTCGAATATTGACATCTCTATGGCTTGTCAATTTTCTGTCAGCTGTCGGCTTTGGCAGTTAGTGCAAACAAATCAGTTTATTTATTATCACTTTAGTATCGAGAGAATAACCGCTCGATTATCTTTAAAGGGATATTTTCATGTTCTACTAAAGAAAATGCAATTTATTATCGCAGTTATTCATATTCTCTTTTTATTTGATGTGGCATTCACTACATTATCTCCACCAACCGACAAGAAAGGCCAGAAAGGTGTAAAAACACAGGAAGGTCCAAGAAAAAACAATGTGTTAGACCGAAAGCTGATACACGAGACACCTTTAGCGAAGGATATAATCAAATACCATGCAACGTACCACCAGGAGTTATCTATCCGACATTTCAGCAACCCTGTTCTAGGTTATGTTACTCCTGTAAGTTGTAAATCGATCATATGAACAAAGTAACAAACGTTGCACTTATATATATATATATATATATATATACTTACAAGCAAAGTTATTGTGTACTATACTTAATATTAAAATTATCATTATGCCATGTCCTTTACAATGCAAAGAGAAGCGAGATATTGTAATAATTTTGAAATAAGAATAATTATTTTATTTATTTTACTATCCTATCCTTCCACACAGCTAAATGTAAAGAAATATTATTTTAGATGTATTTGTTGAAGTTCATGCGAAATCAAGTGTCATTGATATTTGTTTTTATTGTTTAACAAAATTATTAGTAGGTATATTCTTAATTTCAGTGGAATAATAAAGGCTATGATGTAGCAAAAATATGGGCACCAAAATTTAATTATATTTCTCCTGTATGGCTCCAAATTAAAAAACAAGCTCCAAACATTTATATCATTTCTGGACTGCAAGATGTGGATCATGCTTGGATGATGTCTGTTAAACAAAAGGGCTTTGATAATAATTTAAAAAGTAAGTCTAATACATTTTTTATTGTACTATAATCTATACTCCAACTATACTTGTACTATTATAAAATCATCAGTCTGTCGATTTATATATTTGTTGAGAATGATATCTTTAACCTCAAAAAAGCAGACTGTTGTTGGCGACTGCTAGGATAAAGACTGGTGTCTAATTGCATTGAGTATGTATAGATAGTGATGCACTGGTCTTCCATATTGCTTAAGGAGGTCTGTTCTAAGCTAATATTAAGAGATACATAACCCTTAGAACATTCAATCACATTGGTTCTTGTATAAAATGTTTGATTTATCATTAGTCATAAGTGACTTTTATGGATTTGTTAACAAATAGTGAGTTGTTTAATTTATAGTATTACCAAGAATTATCTTCGAAAACTGGCCAGCTGCTGATCTAAAATCATTCTTCGTGGATCCTACTTCACATTCTGAACAAAAAGCACTTATAGAAGAGATTAAAAAGTCATGTAAGCAATGGAAATTTGATGGCATTGTTTTAGAAATGCTGTCCCAAATTGGGAAATATGCTGACAAGTCTGTGAAGTTTATACAACAGTTTGGTGAGTTCAAGTATCATGTTTAGACTTATTATTGTCCTGTTTACCACATTTTCTCTTCTATGCTTATATACTAGTATAAAATTAAATTAATCTTGAATTTATATTTGAATAAAAAAATAAAATTTGCCAAAGTAAGGGAGCTTTGCCAAATTTTATTTTTATTACTCTATTACTATATTACTATACTATACTTATTCTAGTGCAGTAACTAAAAATTTTGTTCATGAGCATTTCATAACACTAAAAAAATAAGAAGATACATTATATTTTGGAAGTTTAAAAATGCTTATATTGACTAACTATTTTTTTTATGTAAATGTGCACACAGTAAACAATTTAATTTATATTACAGTTAATAAAACATAACTTCTTTTGTTGTTAATATAACAAATAATTTTATACAAATTATTCATCATAGTAATAACAAAAAAAGGTTATTATACATACTAAACATTGTAACTTCAGTAAATAAAATAAATCCATATAAAAAGTAAACCTGAATTAAATATAATACATTTTTTTAGGACACGCCTAACTATGGTATGTTATAAATAAGTATAACTCTGAATATACTTACTAACTTAACATAACCAGAAAAAATGACATGTTTTCAATCCTAGTCTCCTTAATTTCCAGGTTCAGAGATGAGTGATGACAACTTGAGTTTGATATTAGTCTATCCACCATTCCGTGGATATCCCAATGATGAGTTCTTCATACAAGCATTCAATGATATTTATCCTTATGTGGAAGCAGTGTCTGTCATGACTTACGACTTCTCTAATCCTCAGAAGCCAGGTATAACTTCTTAATAATTATTAAGTATGGAAATATAAAATAAGTAGGTTTGGCCTCAAAAGAAGTGTTGTCAAAGGTTGTGTGTAGTACTGGTTGTGTATAACATGATTTTGGTAGAGCTACTCTTGTATATAAGCGACTGTTACCACTGCTCGAGCTTGATTGTCACTTCAATTTCATTAAAAGTTTCTTTAAAAGACAGTGGCCCCTATTGTCATTATTTTTACCTTTCCTGTTCTATAGTAATTTTGTTATATAGGTGTCATACTAAATATTATACATTTAAATGTGTCTCTGTCTGTTTGTTTGTTACCTTTTCACAATGAAATAGCTGAATGGATTTTAATAATATTATTCATGAATAAGATTGTTTTAAAAGTATGTTTAAAAAAGAAATGCAGGCTAATATTTCATATACCTATATTAAATTAAAATTATCTGCTCTTTCTTAGGACCTAACGCTCCATTATATTGGATGAGACTGTGTGTTGAAAAATTAATTGATGGTGATGAGAATCCTGTTAAACGACTGAAAATACTTCTGGGATTGAACTTTTATGGGAATTCATACACTGCAAATGGAGGGGGACCTATTGTAGGTACAGAATACATAGAATTATTGAAGAATGCTAAAAATAACCAAGCTCTGTCATACAATAATAACACTGCAGAGAACTATGTGGAAATTCGGTAAGAATATTTTTAATTTATTTTTATTAATATGAAAGTTTATTTTCTTCTCTATTACTTCTTAGCCTTAACCATGTTTAGAAATCTGGCATGTCTATACTAATGCTATTATAATGAGGAGAGATTACATTTTTTTTTCTTACACTGAATATAATAGGTTCCGAAACTACTGGAACAATAAAAAAATCGATTATTATTACTATCCTAGATTATTTGTGATAAACATAAGCTATAGAATGCCCTTAAAAACATTAGGGATCCATATGAAAACTTCCATAATATAAGTAAATGTGTGAACAAAATAAAAAATCTTTTTATCACATACTCTGTGGAAATTATTGATAATAGAGCAAAGTGACTCACTAGTTCTATAGAAGACATCAATATCGATGGGTGTATATGTGAGTGTGTTAAGATATAATTTTTGTTTTTTTTTTATTAACCATTCGAAGCCGGTGCTCGTAAGTAGTTACTAGATAAAGGCACGCTATTTAATATCCATATCTAAGTGATAACGAGGATGACACGCCTAAATACCTGCACCTATAATTTTATGATTATGAGTGATAAATACCAATTCGCGCGCAAAAATACTATAAAGCGTATGTAAATGATGTACTATTTTCTAAGAAAATTAAGTTGCCTTAAATATTATAACAAGTCCTTAGATCAGTGCATTATATAAATAAGTTTTCCTAAATTATCTTGGGATCTGGTGTCTACCAAGTCTATCCTATACTTTAAATTAATAATTAAAAATAAAATAATTTATAGGGTATATATAAATTCTAGGGTAGGTGTATATAAAAATAATAAATTCAATTGAATATGTTATTTTATGCAATGTTATAGGACATCACAAGGTACAAAGAAAATATTTTATCCAACGTTATATTCAGTACAAAAAAGACTGGAATTGGCTCGGGAGTACGGAATTGGAGTGGCGATATGGGAATTGGGACAGGGACTTGATTACTTTTATGATTTATTTTGATCAATTGTGATATTATGTTTAAGTTATTAAATTAAATTATGTATAAATTGTAAATTAGTCTGTTATTTATAAGTTCAGAAATATAATGCTTTCTCTTCTTCATAATATTTATTGGTTGAAATTTACGTTAACAATCTTATTTACAGTCAGTCTTCATAAAATCCTTTTAATTTTTAGGCTGATTTTTAAACAATATTAATCATGGTTGTTTGTTTTATTTTTTTGTCAAAAACAGAAAAAAATAAGTTATAAACATTGAAAATGGATCTTAATAGTACCATAATAAAATTGCTGCATCCAAACAATACACAATATGTAAACAATCCCCAGTAGGAGATGTTTTGCAGTATAATTAATATACTGTTACTTCTTTTCATAGCATAATTTAGTCTAATTTATTCATTAATGTTGAATATGTAATAAAGCTATTTTACATATTTGCGTTTAGTGTGTTTTATTACTATTGTAAAATGGGTAAATTTTAGATTTAACAAACATTTAAGTTGATTAATCTAAACTTTACCTGTTTTAGAATGCGGCATGTCATTAAGATGTACCGTCCCTGATTAAAGATAAATTTTCTTATAGACATAATAATATGTCAGTTATTAATGTAAATTGAAATAATATCACTAATTTCATAAGTGATAAACAGTCACACTAATCTCATTTTACGGCAACTCTAGATTTTCCTTTGAACTCCATCATGGACTGTGGTCCTTTCATTACTCGATGCATGAGATCCCAGCACATTTTTGCAGGAAGTAAGCTGAAAAATATATATAAGATATGAGTCGTGAACTGAACATTATGAACTAGAGTGACTTAGATATGTCGTAACGTAGATATGTGTATTATATATAAAATAGAGTTAAATAAACCCATTATAAATCAACTGGTTATAATGTTGGATTGACTTACTTTTTTCTATCTATATAGTGATAATAACAATGCCAAAGATAAGAAGATATCTTATTAAGAGGTATCTTATCTTGTAACTCTAAAGGACTAAGATAGGTGAAAGCGGAAAACTCTTATTCTGTAATTTCACATTCCGCTATACCATGCGTTGCAAACGCATTGTGGTATAGCGAGTGTCACATGATAACCTGATTTTCATAGTGCTGTTTATGTATATAGGGGACAATTAGGTACCGCTTACTATTCGGTCAGACGTCAGCTTGTTTGCCATTCCAATACTAGTAAAAATAGTGTATTGTACCATTTGAGTGGAAGTAAATATCTGACGGAACCAGGCATGATGCAATTGACTTCATTCTTTCTGATGGAATCTATCATGGTTTCCGCAACATAGTCAGGCTCCAACATCGGCATGAGACGTGGTGTGACCCCATGGAACATGCCAGTGTTGATGTAGTAAGGGCACACGAGCGTCGCTTGTATGGTATTGTGTCCATGAGCCTAGAATTACAAATAAAAACATCTGTTAAATTAGTTATTAATTCTATATAAAATTAAAACTCAATTCGTACGAATAATTTGTGAGTGAATAATGTTTATTAAATCTAGTTAATATTTATTACTTATTTTTGACTATTATAGCAAGTGGAGTATTTAAAAGATATTTCTACATGAAGCAACGAATACAAATATTGGCCAAAGGACGTGGAGTATGAGTGTTACTGTGGTAGACATCCGTCGTCAGTGATATAACCACAGCTTATCTTGTTAATCTACTACGAATAAGGTACAATATATTTTTGGTCTGAATTAAATTAATTCTAGTTAAAAAATCGAAATTAAAAAAGAAATGTGCACATAATTATGAGCTCCAAATATATTTGTTGTAATCGATGTCGCAACTGGGAACTTTGGATACAATCTATAATATATAAAGCTGCATTATGGTCACTGACTGATTGACATAGTTGTTCTCCCAGAAGGAGTGCTGGGGGGTCGTGACGATGTATGGGGGAAGTGTACGTTTCGCTAGGGTGACCACGAGAAAATTCCGAAAGTTGGGATTTTTATATAAATAAATCGATCCGGCTCCAAGGACCAAATGTCACGATTGACACAACGTGATAAAATTGCCAGCATCTTTAAAAAACTTTGATACGGGGCAAAATGTATACTTTTTTATTTACAGTCATTACACTATTATTATTTCTTACTTACTCTAAGTTCAGTGAATAGGCTCTCGTGGAAACCAACAGTGGCGAATTTAGTGCCACTATAGTCTGTACAACGGTAAGTGCCGAGTAGTCCCGCTACAGAGCCCACCGTCACTATGTGCCCCTTGCCCGTTTCAATCATGTCGGGGAGGAACGATCTGACTGTCTGTGAACAGATTTAGAATTATTTTTATAATGTTAATTCATGTAGGTAGACTTGGGATTTAGTTACACAGCCATTATTGTTGATATTTGGTGAATTAATGTTGATTTTGCAGCATTTTGATTTTGTCCTTATTATTATCATTATTATTATTATTAACATTAAAAGTATCTGTATATATGTCTATATGTAAAGTAATATATAGGTACACATAAAGTAACATTATATATAATAAACCTGTTAGGTATCCTGTGTATTGTGCAATACTTATGTACAAAGTGAAGACTATCGCAATCTGCCTACCTAAATACTACAGGGTATACCATACGGTCATTGCGACAACTACAATTATTTTACCACAATATTTTACATAACAATATACTAGGAAGCAGTGCTACGAAATGGACTCAATCGTGGCAATTATGTGGCGTACTTACCCAGTAATGTGAGAGGATGTTAACTTTATAGGTAGTTTCTATTGCGGAGTCGGCGAGTTCCAGCAGAGTTTCCCCAAATACGGTGCCGGCATTGTTAATGAGTACATCCACTTTTCCCACCTATAAATCAATATCTATTGTTAAATACTTCCATCATACATTATTGACCATATTTGTGTTACTACTTATAAGTACATTAAATGTAGGTACTTACAACTCATGCAAATCATATAAATATATCTTTATTTTGCTTATTAGAGAATTTGACTGCAGAAACCTATGTTACATCAAATCTACCGTCAGTTCGGAATGTAGTCTAAACCGAGAAGATTTGATAGATAACTCCGTTCCCATTTTTTTCAAATGTTAATGTAGATACATAATTACAACAATAGCTATATATATATAAGGGTGAATATTAATTAATACATATAACCGATTAATTTAATCAGCAGTCATAATTTGAAGAGACACTTGAAGACAGTTACATATGCTACATACATATGATAGATACCTACACTTTTGTGTCTAAATTTATACGCATATATTTATTTTTTATTCTTTAATGCACAAAAAAAACTTGTACAAAGGCGAGCTTAATGCCATATGGCATTCTCCACCAGCTAACCTTTAGGTATACAGAAAGCGTTGTGGGGCAGTTATGTCAAAAACAAACACAAAGTTACTAATAAATATTATATAATACATATAAAATGCAAATAAATATATACAAATAATAATATATATGGTATACCTGATATTATATAATGTCATACATTAATGTTAAATATATATAATACTAATACAATGCAATACAGTTATAACTCATTTTTCAGAAGAAAATTAAATAATTTATTTTTAAAAATGGGCTTACTCGATGCTTTTCGCAGGTTTACAGGTATTCTATTCCAGAGGCTAATAGCAGTGACAGTAAACGAATTAGACATAAAACCTGAGTGATGGGAAGGGGTTGAGAGAAGGAGATTATGGGATGAACGAAGAATACGGGAATGAGAGTCACTGATGAACTGAAATCTATTTTTCAGATAAGAGGGAGACGAAGGATCAAAAAGTATGGAGAAGAGAGTACACAGGATACGCAAATCTCTGCGATTTCGGATAGACAACCATTTAAGTTGAGAACGAAAATTAGATACGTGGTCAAACTTCCGCAGCCCAAAGATGAACCGAATGCAGTTGTTGAGCAGACGGTCCAACTTATTCAGCTGATCCTGAGAGAGGTTAGAAAGACACACGTCAGCATAGTCAAAGTGCGGAAGTATTAGAGATTGGACGAGGAGCAATTTAGTGGAAGAAGGAAGGAAGAATTTAAAGCGATATAGTATACGGAGAATACCTGTAACCCTGCGACACACCTCAGCCACTTGCAAGTGCCATCGAAGAGTCGGATCGATTAATAGGCCTAGGTTTTTAACACTGGAACAAAAAGGGATAATATTATTCTCAAAACGTACGTTTAGATTTGCCGAGTTGAATTTTGAGAGAAGTTTTGAGCTCCCTATAATTATTGCCTGGCATTTATTCGGATTTACCGATATACCAAAACGATGGGACCAGCGGGCTATGTTTTCGAGGTCTACATTCAGACGACCCAAGGCTGCAGTGACGTCGTTAACCTCCGATTGAACATACAGTTGTAAATCGTCTGCATATAGATGGTAAGAGCAACTAAGATGGGAGACAACAAGATTAATAAATAGAGAAAACAGAAGAGGAGAGAGAATACCGCCTTGTGGAACACCTGCGACCAAATCACTCCAGTTAGACAAGTCCTGCCCAGAGCGAACAGCCTGCTGGCGACCACGAAGATAAGAAGAGAACCAATGCAGTGCTGACGGCGAGAAGTTGAGGTGAGAAAGTAACATCAAGATCAGGTCATGATCGACACAGTTGAAGGCATTGGAGAAATCTATTAGAACTAAAATAGTAATTCGAGTGTTCTCCATGCCCTCACGGATGTCTTCAGTTACATTAAGAAGTGCGGTGGTGGTACTATGACCAGCCCGAAAACCAGACTGATAGGGTGTTAAAAAGTTACAATTGGCTATAAAGTACGAAACTTGTTTATTTACAATCATTTCAAGAACTTTCGAGAGAAAAGGCAAGATAGAGATGGGTCTGAAATGATTGGGAAGAGTTGGATTGGAGATTTTGGCAAGAGGAATAACGAAAGCTTTTAGCCATAATTTAGGGTAATTACCAGAAGATAAAGAGAAATTGAAAATGTGAGTAAGAATTGGAAGAAATGTATCTAATAAGAAAAGGATCATAGTTTTACTCACTTCGTCATAACCCTTAGCGTTTGATTTGATGGAAAGAACTGCTTTGCGTATGTCGTCGTCAGTTACTGGAGAAAACTTGAAAAGGTCAGATGAAAGTGCAGGCATGGATGAAATTTCCTGTAAGGTGGATTGTTTAGTGATTGCGTCGAGTGGTGTCACAAAGGAAAAGTGCTTGTTGAGATCATTTATTGGGACGTTAGAGTTGGAGATGATTGGGGACTTTCCAAAACCAAGAGAATTAAGGAATTTCCAAACATCTGCTGAAGGAGAGTTTAAAACGTTTCTATGGATATGTCGGCGTTTTGCAGCCCTTACCATCTGATAGCGATTTCTAGCACGTTTAAAGAGCTGAAAGTCAGTAGCGTTTCTATCCTTCTTAAAAGTACGGAAAGCCCTATCTCTTCTCGCCATTGATTTACGTACTTCATCCGTAATCCACGGTGCAGGTGGGCGACGCAATTTCACAACACGGACTGGTGCATGCTTGTCAAATAAAGTTAAAGTTTGCGCATTAAAAATGGAGATTTTCATGTTTATATCAGTAGCATCTAGCAGCGGTGTCCAGTCAATAAGTGCAGCATCGCGTCTAAGTTGACTGGCATCGATTCTGTTAAAATTACGTACACTGGTAATGATAGGCTTCGGTTTATTTGGTTTAATTTTATACGAGAGGAACAAAAGGTCATGACGAGAAAAAGCAGGAGCAGACAATTGATCATATTCAATAACGTGATTTGTTAAAGAGGTACATATAAGGTCCAGCCATGAATCGTCCGTGTCGATGTTTCGATGGGTCGGTCTTAAAGGTAAAATAGTCAGATCGGCAGAATTAAATATCGATCTTAACTTTTGCGATTGCGTCGAGTCCTTCAATAGATTAGTATTAAAATCACCCATGATGATGACATGACTATAAGATGCATTTATATTATCAATAGCATCGTCGAGATCCGTGAAATAATCTGTTGAAGGTGGGCAGTAGACAACTCCGACAGCGACCTTCGTCCCATTAAAATCGACTTCAATAAATAAAAGCTCTGCGGAGCCCTTGTATTCAGTAGGAGAAGATAAAATTATTTTATAGGCAATGTGACTACGCAAGTAAATCGCGACACCGCCACCACCCTTACCCGTGCGATCATTCCTGATTAAGATATAACCTGGAAGGGCGTATGTGGTAGATGGCAAAGCAGGTTTTAACCACGATTCTGAAATAAGTACAGCTTGAAGATTAGGTTCAGAAAAAGAGTCAAGTAAATCAGTATAATGTGCCGGAATACTCTGAGCATTGATGTGGCATATATTAAAGAATTTAGGATGTACTAATTTACTACTTAGCAAGTTTTTAATACTAATGACATCATCGTTAAAGCTTGAGTCAGCAGAATGCAAAGATAAGCTACTATCACTCGCTGAATAAAATGAGTCGTCGTCTGTAAGCATTGAAGATTTAAATAACTAAATAATAATATATATATATATATATATATATGTTAAATATGATATAAAATAATAAGAAAATAAAAGATAAATATATAATGAATCAAATTTAAAATAAAAAATTATAAAGATATAGAAGCCAAATCGCTTTATAATCTATTTACCTGCCGGCTCGCTGTAACAAATTTATATTAAATATACAACACAAAACAGTAATACTATTTATATGTACATTCTGGTGAAACAAAACGTAATTAATACAAAAAAGTTATGACAGACAGATTGAAGTAGAAATGTCAGTCAAAGTGACACTGTCATATGACATACGTCATAATAACAATTGTGTTGACTTGTGTTTGCGTAAATAAAACTTTACAAGAAAATTAAAACGGTAATCGGAATATAAACAATAATAGAAGGTATTAAATGAAATTGTAAATATTAAGATATCTGAACGGTACTTAGGAAAATAAGATATGTGAAGGTATTATGATGTTATACTATGAGAGGAGATAAAGTTTACTTCTACACTGATTGAATAACAACGACAAGACAAGACGATAAGTGATACAAGTTTCATACCAGAATGCGACAATAACATAACACGATACACACTTTAACAATAATAGATCATTTCTTGTTCGCCCTTGTAGACCGATGCTGTTTGGGAGCAGCTGATGTAGACCTGCTACTAGAGGCTGCACTATCAGCAACTGGTGCTGCACAAGATTCCACTGGCTTCTGTGAAGCGATCAGCTTTTCCAAGTCCTCAAGCATAAATATCTTAACCCGCGAGTTGTCTGGAAGCTTCACACTTATGACACCATCCAAAGTCCAGACTTTATTGATCCCGAAGTGTTTCCTAGCTTCAATAAACAATGTCTGCCGCATACGTGTCAAATACTCAGACAATAAATATGAGCTGCCTTTAAATAGAGCCTTTTTTGCCCATATTGCCTGACGAATTGCTGGGTCCTTGAGCTTGAAGAGAATGGGACGACAGCGACCAGTAGAAGCTGCACCAAGACGATGACAGACCTCAAGTTTATCTGGTGTTAAGTCCTGGATTCCAAGATGTTTGGATACGACGGTGACAGTAGCTTCACAAATACTCTCATTTGCCCGTTCAGCTAAACCACCCAAAATGAGGAACTTTTTCCGGTGGCGATTTTCTATAGTATCCAAACCAACTATTAGGTGGTTTATTTGCTGCCGCAATAAACTTACTGAGGTGCTGATTTGATCACGGAAACACCGGAACTCATCACTTAGATGCTTCAGACTGACTTCGCCCGCTGGAGCTGTTTTTAGTTGCGCTTCAAAGGTGTTGAGGCGGTCATCAAGTGTCTTCTCCAGGATGGCCTGTGTTTTGAGTACATCAAGGATGCTGGCCATTGTGTGATATTAAATATAGTGTAGTGGTGAGAGATATTTTAGCGGCTTCTGGCAGGTAATTAAATTACAACTATCACAACATAAGTATATCTACATTAAATATATATATAATATTCTAAATATAATGGGGTTTTACTATTTTTAAATAAATAATATTATAGAGTAAACAAATCTCAGCTGTTACTTTTTTAATGACCTACCCACGAAAAAGCCCATATATTATATGTAGACAAAGTTATTAATAAATTCATGCTCACGACTCCGCTTGGCTATTATTTCTAAAGAGCTTTTTATGCAATTGAGCCTTGTAAAGTCAATTACAATACTTTGTTGTTAGATACTAATGTAGTTAAATTATAGTACTAAGACGAAAAATCAATAATATAAAGCTTTATTGCTTATTGAAACAAATGGTACAAAAAGAACACTTGTATAAATGTGCTTTACAAAACGTTGTCTTTTAGAGGCAACCTGTAGTAAATAAGACGAATTGCTTAATAAATGCGTCGACGCTAGCTAGTGTTATTGACTTTATCCATATCTACCTATCTTATATGAGGATTCTAGCATTATGGCATAGCTACCTAATATAATGGAACTAAATGTTCTGAAATTAGCATCGCAGAAATGACTTCCCAAATTAGATTCTTGTTTGTTTTGTCTAATTCAGTATTCATACATATTTGTCACAAATTTCGTTCAGTGTCGTTTCGAAATATTGGATTAATCAAACTCACTCTTAATTAAAAAGATTTCGTGTAAATAGAAGGATGCCAATTCTAAAATTATTATCATCCATAGGTACCTACTGTAACTTTGCTATATAGGTACCTGTTGCATAAAAGACTTGGATAATCCAATCGCACTCTACATAAATACCATATAATCCATACAATTATCATAAACTGGTTTATTCTGGTTTTCGTTATTAAACCCGCGATTTCGTTAGCTTTTTTTAAATATAAATTTTTGTTCTTTATCTTTGTCCAAAAACAACATATAGTCAAACAGACGCACTTTCTAATTTATTATAGATATTAGTATGGAGTATGGATTTATTTAATATTAATATTTAGGTATATTTATTAATAGTTGGATTGAATATGTGGTTTCATGTAAACATATAGATTTTTTTTATTATAAAAATCTTTACCTCTTTCTTTACTTTTTCTGCGGCCGCATACACTGCATTGCGATCTGCCAGGTCCACAACATAACTGGCTATTTCGTGACCTTCGTTGATCACTTCTTCGCAAGTCTTCTTCAAACCTGAACAAATAGAAAGTATGTTATTGTGTTGTGTGTTTATTTCATAAACCCGATGGAGTGAAATTATCAGTAATTAGTATTAGAGGCACCAATGCTACTAATATGCCTTATCCTTTCTATGTATTAGCATAACTATATTTTTTCTTGGTCTTTTTTTTAAACTCATGTCAAATAATATATTTCACAAACTATTTAGATCATGTATTATACGTACCTATATTATTGATACCTAGGTATCTTGAGGATAGACAGGAATTATTGAAAAATATATAAATTACATACATGTGTATGGCGTCAATCGTCAACAGAATTACCGTAAATATAAAATAAATTCAATCGATTATTTGAAGTAAGTAATATGTTCAGTTATAAGTTGAATAAAAATAATATCCATAGTCGGAGGCATTAAATAATTAATTATTTAGAAGGCTTCTTCATAGTTTAGATAAGTAGGTATATTTAGTAGTGGATATTATTTTATGATTATGGAATGATGTTTTGGCTTGTGGTAACGTTATTCGCTGGTTGAGCACTAATGGAGTATGATGATCGTCATGAAGTCAGGTCAGTTAGCCCATTTAACCAGGAATTTACTACGATGATTACGAGGAGAGTCAGTCTGGAGATCAACCTAGTACGGTACAATTTTAGCAGTGGGGCGACCACTCCTTTACAAAGGATCCAATCTAATCTCTGGTATATTTAGCTGCATTAGGTAGATGCCTTGATGAGAATGTAGACGGAATCTATCATAAATATTGATGATTAGTAACTGAGTTATACTCCAATTAATAAATGTATTTCTTACGAAATATTGATAATGATGATTAGACACCCGACGTAGCATGTGTACTAGCAATTGGCCTTCGCAATTTACTTATTGGACACGCAATTCGTAATTATTGTCATTTATTTTATACAAGTAAGTGACATTAATTACGCAAGCCGTGAGGCATGGGAAATTTTATTGTTAGACTAACTGACCACGCAAACGTTGTTTTCCCATACAAATTAAATTCTCTATTAAAAAACAGAAGTTGGTGACAGAAGGGTGAAAATTTATGGTTGTATGCATTTGGTGGACAACCCATATCACTTAGGAGTATGAAAAATAGATAGTAGCCGATTCTCAGACCTACCGAATATACATTTAAAATTTCATAAAAATCTGTCCAGAAATTTAGGAGGAGTGCGGTAACTGATTGTGACGTGAGAATTTTATATATAAGAATAACCAGAAAATGAAGACATGAAATAATTACTAATTTTATACGTACAATAATACTATTTCTTTGTAACCGAAATATTTAGCTATGTCCATGTTACTCGGTGATAATGTAGCGATCATACAATTTAATTAAAATCTATTGAACAATCAATTGCAATATAAGCAGTGCTGGCCAAGCAGGCTCTTGCACTGCGTCTATTCAACAGTGTCGTTAATCGATTTCCTGGACATATTTACATGTGACTTGTTGAATTTTAACGGAATAGGCAGCAATGGATTTCCTATATAACACGTAAAATTGTCGGTTATTATTGTTTTAATATTATTATTTTTGTGTAATTATTAATATTTCATATTTTGTACATTTTTCCTAAGCAAGTTAAAGCGCTTAGTTTGAAGTCAATAAAGAAATAAATAAATAAGTTTATATTGTTTTCTTCTGAGTACAATAGTCCTATTGGATTGGTAAATTTGAATAATACCTACTTAAAACACCTACAATGAAAACAGGACCTACAATAATTTATTTGATGACTCAATTTATATATTTTACAATGTACGTACAAAGTTGTTCTAGATTTAAGGCTGTTGTGTAAACGCAGTTTTAGAGAGGCAAATATGATCACGTTACGGTCGACCACTGACAGGGTTAGTTGTAATAACTAGAATTATACATAGAACGGATACTGAAGCATTCTAATCCAAATATATTATTAGCTTCATCGTTCAACGGTTTATAATTCCGCTATTTTATTTGAAATCAGTTAATATTAATGCTTTTTCAAAAACAAAAAAAATATATTATTTAAGTAATCATTAATTTTTACGTTACATACTACTAAAAGAACTTAGGTATTTTGTGCAAACGAGAGCGTTAGAGATTCAAATATCAAAATTGTTTTATGTTATAGACATAAGGCAGCACGATATTTCACTATAAACACTCTTCATTGAAAACTTACCTTCAATGTTAATATCCCATATAACAACCTTGGCTCCAAGCTTGGCTAGTTTGATTGCTAACTGTCGCCCAACTCCACCGCCGCCTCCCGTTACCAAAACCACATCTCCTTTGAGACTCTTCATAGGCCGCAACGCGTTTGGTATTAAAGTCCAGAACAGTGATTCCAAAATGTAATAGCATGACAGCAAAAGAAATAGTACTGTGTCTTTAGCGACGTCGAAAACGCTTGCCATTTGGGATGGACTGTTTATCTTCGTTCCCTCCAACATGATAAATTAGTTTCTGAAACAAGATATATCTTATCAAATTCTGAAAGCAATCTAATTCATAGAGATGTTTCATAAATATTAGTAATTAGTACAGAAGTATTACAGAATAATATTCCGTAAATATAAAAATCCACAACATTAAATAACAGTTAGTACAGCAAACTGGTTTCTAAGTATAAATCTTTAAGTCAATCGATCTTTTTTTTTTAAGATAGAAGTTACAAATGATTAAATATTTATTTATAGCTCATTTTTGACAAATGGGCTATTGTGACCATATGATGAACTTGTGCCATTACCATGGTTTGTTGCTATTTGTAAGTTTTAAGATGAGTTACGAGATCTACGAGGTCGCACTTCCAAAATTAAGACCAGTTTCTAGTAGGTCAAAATTTTAAATAAAATATTAGCTTATGTCTTGCTTAATTGAGAACAACACATATTGGTAACGACAACAGTAATGTTCATATCGTTTTCCACATGTATTAAGTAACCCATAAAATTTCAATATTTAAAGACCCAAATTTTAACATTGAATAAACAAATATTTGAAGAGAGACCAATAATTTACCTCAAAATTGCGAAAATTAAGAATGGCCACTTTGACTTTAAGTAAAAATCTTAACAAAAACATATAGGTACAACACATAATAACGTACAATAATAATATATCGTCTAAATTTAAGAATACAAGTCATATAATATTATAAATAGTGTCGGCTTATAAGCGTTATTGTAGATATTAAAGCTAGAGATTTTAACCTATATACTGTATCATTTATAATAGTTAAAAATAAAAAATAAATGTTACAATACTTAAAAAATCTTAATATTATGAGATTTACTGGACAGTTATTATATATCCAACCCATACACACCAACATTAGTTCTAGAAAGTAGATGGAAGAAAGTTGTTTGGAGTGTAAACTATGTCAATATCTTGTTGCCATCGCAGACAGATTTGAGCGTGTATTTATTTTTATTTGTTATTAGTGAAAATTCAATACGCCTTTAATAAAAGCACGACATATTTTATCTGATTTAGTTTATGTACTAAATATCTATTTCGTATTAGCAGCAATTACTATATGGTTCTATAATGAACAGCTTTTTCATACAAAAAATAAAATAAGATATCATCAGTCTGGACGTATGAATACTAGATTACAAAGATACTGAACACAATGGTTCTGATTTATATAGTTACACTGTCAATCACAGAGTACATGCTTGGTATTTTATAGTATCTATTTTGTATTATTTTTCTCGAATCCTGTACCTATATTCATTTTCAGAATAATTTTACTTAGTACAAATGAAAACATACTTTGTGTTCACTCACATTTAAAAATTGTGTCGCATAACGTAACACTTTAATCTGAATTCACTAAAATTATAATTCTCGTTTATAAATATTATTCATCTCATTGATAAAATAGATTTAAATCGTCGAAAAATTATATATACCATATATTATAAAATATTAATATGTTTTCTAAAACACAAACAATATTTAAACAGCAAACAATCTATTTAACTAACTAACTAACTATCACACACAGAAGTTATGAAATATAAATTTAAAAAAAAATAATTACTATAATAAATACCTATTGTTATTTGCAGTTTTCTTTATACACAAACTGATAAAAATCCGTCTTTACGCACTAGTTTGTTGGGAGCATTGCAAGCGTGCTGGTTGATGCAGGACTGCGCGCGCGCAACTCCGTACAACACGGCTTTCTCCATTAACGGTATATCTACCTCTTTACGGTGCTCACAAACGCCCAATTTTATTTGTAGATTGTGAGGTATGTTTTTATGAACCGCTGTGAGGAGGTTCTCAAATCGATGATATTTTTGTGTATGTATACAATATAAGTATGTAAATACAAGATATATTTAGTCAGCAGGAATGAATTACTTTGCCTAACAGATGCATTCTCATATATAGATATATGATATATAGAGTATACATTTTTCATTTTACTATAGACTTTATATATAGTTAATGTGGGCATATGGGCATCTGCTGTAAAAGAAGTAAGGTAATAAAACGTCGTACTTAATGTAAACTAAAATTTGAATATTTGTATGTAAACAAATATTTCAATTTTTTACGATTATAACAAAATTAAAAATTATTCACCGATTTTCAAAATTCTTTCTTCTGTTCATACTTCACGCTATTAGCGCCTTAATATACGGCTATTTCCAAAACAATTGAAAGGTTTTCGACGAAGTGTTAATTGAATGAAATAGTCAATACATCTTAAAACTAACCATTGTCATAGTGTTTCTCTGGCAGGACGTTAATATTCACATGTGTCAATCTGTAGGGAATTATAGATCAATTTGTATTCATATCATGTGAGATTAACATTTACTGGAGGTCGCACGCGCCACATGGTGTTTGAGGTTCGAGAGGTGTTTGTGGTGTGACGCTTTAGTAATAGTAATACTAATTTAGGAAGGAAATTGCCATTATTCATTAATAATTGATAGATCACATAATCCTCACTTAATCTTTACTGATAAATGTGAAAAGGATTTCATTGTTGGCCCTCAGTTCATAGGAAGACGGGTATTTAAAATGGAGCAGTATATAAGCAGATTTTAGGCCGACTTATCGAGTCATCTCAACCACATGAACAAATGGTAAAAACTCTATTAGATTTCTGAATAAACAATTGTAGTGCGAAAATAGAAAGATACTGGTACCGAATCGGGTCTAGACAGGCTAATATTGAGTATATTTAATGCTATGCTATACTATTGAGGTAGGATTTAATTGGAATTAGTGTGTATCATCGTAAAGATATCAGTTATGAAAATGGAGAAGTAAAATATATAGCTCTGTGGTATGAGTTTCTACTCCTTGTGGACTAGGCTTGAAGACAGATAAACCAGTTATATGCGTTGTGCGTCTAATAATATATTGGAATTAGTATACATAATATACCTACCACATTAGTTACCTATGTGGTACTTATATTGTGTTACGATATGGTACTTATATTATGTACCTATAGGCGACAAACATATTCAGTTTTATATTATGCGGTTAGAATACCATACATACACATTAATTCTGTTTCTATATATGTACTGACAAATCAATATGTTTGAATACTAAGCAGTAAATATTATATATATACTAAGGAAGGACTTAATTATAGCGAAGAAGAATGAAATCTTTATAACCAGGCCAGACTAATTCACATTAAAACATTAATTTTGATTAAAAAATTGCTATATTGGAGTTCTTATTTGTATTTGGACTTTTAGAACAGTCTTACAGTCCAATAATATTGGAATACACAGTTTCGCAATTTTTTATAGGTACTCTTTGCAAATTAACAACGTATTAATTACATATCAATATATGATTTCGTTAATAGAATATGTAACTGACATTATTATTGATTAATTCAGTTGAATTTTGATTAACTTTAACAAAAAATGTTTAAAAATATATTGAAAACAACATTCAGATAATACTACAAAATAGACTAAAAATAGTAGAAAGTATTAACTATGTTTTTAAAAATCATTGCTAGTTGAACCGCTTATTAAAATTTTATAATTTAATTCCTATTTTCGAAATAGGTCAATTGTTTAAATGTGTAACGCGTTGAAGTCTTTTATAGGTAAATAAATCAGTAAATTGATTTTATTCTTTCGAGATACATACATTTCTAAATACTTTTGAGCGAAATAGGACTTGTGTTAATAAAAGTCTAGTTTTTAAAATGTAACTTAGTGTTAAGTTATGCCAAGTGGCGCCATCTTGCGATGGACTGTAAACTAACTTAGACGTTTCATACTGTCCGAAGGTTGCTTTGTAACTTTGTAGTGCTATATTTTAGCACACTAAAGCGATGTTGTGTGTTAACTAATGAATTGTAAATTATGTAAGGTGGCGCGGTACGTATTTGAGTAATTTTATATGAGAGTAGGTGAAAAACTAATACCTATTTAATCAAGTTATTAACTTAGCACATACATTGCATGCTTTTCAATATTTTCGTTCGAATGGATATCGGTTAGAAGAAATAATATTATTAGACTTAGATTAGTGTGATGTCATGTTTGTAGGTGATAAACTGTTGCCTAACTGCATTGCCATAGTTTGTCCTCAGTATGTGTCATACTAGCCGAATAGTAAAAAAAAAATCTCTATTTTTTTTATCTTCAGTTTTTTTACGTATAAATGAATTTGGGGTGCACCTCTAATAAAAGGTAATAATCGATTAAGAAAGAAGTCTATCATTATTTAATAAAAAAAAATTCGAAAAAATATAGTATTTATTTATATCCAAAAATTTGAGTAATTTTAATAATCAATATTCATGAACACTTGCTTTTTTATTCAAATTCTTAAAAAATAGTCCCAAGAAATTAAGATACCCACATATTAAAAGGCTCAAGATATTATAAATTTAAAAAATATCTATTCTTAATATAAAAACTATTATTACTAAATAAAATATCGATATTTAATTAATCGATCGATCGATGAGATAATATATAAATATTAGTATATTCATATATAATTATCGATTTGCGATTTGCCATAGTTTGTCCTCAATATGTGTCATACTACCCGAATAGTAAAATAAAATTCTCTATAATCTTGGATTTTATTTTCAGTTTCTTTTTTACGTATAAATGAATTTGGGGTACACTCGCCTCCTGTCGTTCGGTGAAGCTGTAAAGGCCAGTTGCGGCCAACAGCATTAGAGTAGTCCGAAAAAAGTTCAGAGGGGACGTAAAAAAATAATCGATTAAGAAAGAAGTCTATCATTATTTAATAAATAAATTTTTTTTCGAAAAAATATAGTATTTATTTATATCTAAAAATTTGAGTAATTTTAATAATCAATATTCATGAACACTTGTTTTTTTATTCAAATTCTTAAAAAGTAGTCCTAAGAAATTAAGATAACCACATATTAAAAGGCTCAAGATATTATAAAATTAAAAATTAATTCTTAATATAAAAACTATTATTACTAAATAAAATATCGATATTTAAATAATCGATCGATCGATGAGATAATATATAAATATTAGATTAATTAATTATCGATTTGCGATTTGCCATAGTTTGTCCTCAATATGTGTCATACTACCCGAATAGTAAAATAAAATTCTCTATAATCTTGGATTTTATTTTCAGTTTCTTTTTTACGTATAAATGAATTTGGGGTACACTCGCCTCCTGTCGTTCGGTGAAGCTGTAAAGGCCAGTTGCGGCCAACAGCATTAGAGTAGTCCGAAAAAAGTTCAGAGGGGACGTAAAAAAATAATCGATTAAGAAAGAAGTCTATCATTATTTAATAAAAAAAAATTCGAAAAAATATAGTATTTATTTATATCTAAAAATTTGAGTAATTTTAATAATCAATATTCATGAACACTTGTTTTTTTATTCAAATTCTTAAAAAGTAGTCCTAAGAAATTAAGATAACCACATATTAAAAGGCTCAAGATATTATAAAATTAAAAATTAATTCTTAATATAAAAACTATTATTACTAAATAAAATATCGATATTTAATTAATCGATCGATCGATGAGATAATATATAAATATTAGATTAATTAATTATCGAATTATTAAATAGAATGTCACATCTTTTGCTCATCGAGTACCCTAACTTCGCGAGGCGTGAAGGTCGTTGAAAGACGAGGCAAGGGTGTGAGGGTCGACGACGCATGCGCGGTGCACCACGTCTCGCCGTTCAGTCAGTCGATCTGTGGAACCGCGCCTCGCTACCGGCTTGCGTCATACCGCCAAATTATTTGCCGGTACGCGGCTGTCATTATCAAAAAAACAATTAAATACAACGTAAAAGTATCGCCGGCTTTTTATTAAAAAATATTAAAAACAGTGATAGTGTCTGTGATCAGCTGATCACTGCTTCCCAAATTGTGATATTATTTTTAATATATGGTGAGTTTTAATATTATTAAGCTATAACATTGTATTCATAATAAGAAAAGGTTTTCTCGTAGTGCATATTAGATTGAAAGTATTTCAAGGATATCTTGGTTCTCATACTACTCTCAGGTTGAATGAAAACTGCACTAAACACAGAAATACCTAACTATAAAATATCAATAAATAATAGTGTATTGTACACACACACACACACACATATAAATATCTATATCTATTTAAAATTATAATGCTAAAATTTGATATTAAGTTTATAAATTTTTAATCTTTAGATATTATTATACCAATACAATAATATCAAATTTTTCAAACCAAGGCTATTTGAAATCCCGTCATAGTGCTTACTTGTTTTATAACAACGAATACTTTCTTCGATCTTATTAGTACAATAATAAAACATAAAATGATCACCATACACTACTTTTAATATTTATTTTAATTATATAAAGAAATAAACTATTTAATATAATTAAAATGTTAATTATTTATCGGGACCCATATTTTCTTGGTTTCTGGTTTACACTTTACCCTACTGTCTAATTTATCTGGCAGCATCAGTTAAAAAACTAACAATAAACTCAGTTGTTGCTTTGTTTAAATCAATATTTTAATACATTATAATTTCCAGTCCAATATAATCAATTATTATATTAATTTTTAAAATCCAGTAGTATTCAGTAGTAGTATAATAATTAATAGTAATTTAGTACTACCTAAATGTTGCTGGGTATATA